AGACAAAATTGTGATATGCACGTGTATATATTCGAGATAGGTTTTGAACCCTAAAACAATTTTTTTCTACTCACTCACTCACTCACCACACACTGCAAACTGAGAGAGCGAAAAAATCATTAAACCTTTGAAAATTAACAATTAGATTCAGGTTGTACCTTCCTTTGATTAAGTAACCACGCAATAGGTATGTGACGAGAGGAGGCCACAACGGCCAGAAGTCAATATTCAAGGACCTAAATGGGGAGATTAAGTTTAGAGATACATGGGCAAGGATGATCTGTCACGACGACCAGAAACAGATGGATACGAAAGTTATTGCAATCTTTTATGAACAAATTTTCAAAACGGTTCCATAGACATGAATGTCGCTTGAGTTGAAGGTTTAATCACTGACACTACCCACTTCCTTAAAGATGCATACAGACACCAATGTTCAAACAGCTTATCCATGTCCTGAATATTGTCTTTCACAACGCAACATAAAATACTAACAACTAATTCCTTTAGAAAAATGAAGATCGAAGTTGATTCCTTTTCAGGTTCCAAGATTTACCCAGGTAGAGGTACCTTGTTTGTCAGAGGTGACTCCAAGATCTTTAGATTCCAATCATCTAAATCTGCCTCCCTCTTCCACCAAAGAAAGAACCCAAGAAGAATTTCATGGACCGTTTTGTACAGAAGACACCACAAAAAGGGTATTTCTGAAGAAACCTCCAAAAAGAGAACCAGAAAGACCGTCAAGCACCAAAGAGCCATTGTTGGTGCTTCATTGGAATTGATCAAAGAAAGAAGAAGCCAAAAGCCATCAGAAAGAAAAGCCGCTAGAGACTCTAAATTGGCCAAGGACAAGGAAGCTAAAAAGGCTGCTAAGGCTGCCAGGAAAGCTGAAAAGGCCAAGGCTGCCGCTGCTGGTGCTCCAGTTGTCTCCAAGCAAAGCGCTAAAGGTTCATTCCAAAAGGTTAAGGCCACTTCTCGTTAAGTGATTTGAGACTTTTAGAGTGTTTAATTAGTGTGCGTGTATGATAATAAAAAGAGATTCGGCATTAAAGAGAGTGAGAGAGAGAAGCTTGAATAAACGTCTTGTATTCTAAAGTATCTGATACATATGTATATATACAAGGCAAGGATTGAAAATGAAAGATCGGGTCTCTATTGTAGTTTATATTCCCCAAAAGTGAATTTACCCTCTTTTTCAGCACAGCTTAACACAACGCTTGTTGAATCATTGACCCTGGTGCCAAAGTAAAAGGTCTCCGTCGTGTGTCCGTAAAGAAGGTGTATCCTCCCATCCGATTTCTTCAAAACGATTACGAATCCACAATACAAATCTTTATCCTTACCAATCAACAACTTCTCCAATTGGGGGCCATACTTTCCTTCATCCATAAGATGCACATTAGTGACAATCAATTGAGCCAACGAGTACTTGATAATTTGCTCTCCGTTCCCTGAGCACATACAGCTGATTTCCAAGTCACCAATCTTTTCGTAATAAATAGCAGCCCCAACAATCCCAGCACATCCAATTCTTCCTGGTAACTTGAAGAAATTTCCACCGGAAGTAGTGGCGAGCGTGGTGTCATTTGAATTAATCACTATGGACCCAATGGTGTCACTAATAGCTCCCTCTACTGGATATTGATCTTGACGGCCCAGGTAGCCCATCCAAATTTCTTTTGCTTTAGCAGACCCGAGGTGGTCGTCAACGTCGATATCCATGTATTTTTGCAAACCGCTGCAATGTAGACTCAATGGTCGTGTCAAGTTTGGTTGTTTCTTGTACAACTCGTTGATTTCTTTGTATATTCGAAACAATTCCTGCGTTGGTGAAAAGGATTGTAGACCGGACAATGCACCAGACTCTCCATTACTTTTAATGTAACTGGCATCGATCTCGACTTCGCCAAAGGCGTTTAAACTTGACCCGAAACCAGTGTTGGTCACTGATGAATGCTCCAACACGCTATTAACGTTGATAACATCACCTCTCTTCAAGGCCCTTTTCATAAGTTGCACATGTTTGTTATTCTTCTTCTTATTGTGCTTCCCGGCACCTATATGGAGTACGACAATTTGGTTCAGTTCCATCCATAGACTGCTGTTTCTCAACAGTACAAAACATTCTCTGCTACCAAAAATCAATTTGCAATAGAGGTCATTCTCAGTACAGTGACTGTTTCAAAGTTTCAAACAACCACAAATTTTACAAAACCCAAGCTCTGCATGTTGTAATTTAAAGCTCAATCATTAAATTTGTATTTCTATTCTATAAAGTCATTTATAAAAAGTTGATTAAAATTGTTGCAAATATAGCAACCAAAACTGAAAAAGAAGATTGAATTGAAGCACCACTGTTTTCATAAGCAACAACATGTGGTGATGAGTTTGAGCTTGCTCTTGGAATATCAGTAGAAGTAGCAACCGCAGAATTGGTTGACATTGTAGTATAAGCACTAAAGTTTTCTTCTGATGCCTTGTTATTTTGTTCAGCATCGACCAGAGATGCACCAATGATTGAAGCGTTAGCCCAGGTACTGTCAGATGATATTGAGTCAGATGTGGAAGTAGTGACTTTGGTAGGTGAGTTACCACTAGCAGATGCATCAAGTCCAGTATATGCAGCATCTTCAGTAGATTCACCAGCTTGACCGATTGCTTCAACACTAGCACCTTCAACAGCACCATCTTGGGCAGAAATAAGTGTCTTGGAATCATTACCATTTGAGCCATTACTTGCCTCAGCTCCAGTACTGCTTGAATATTCACCACCGTCAACAATCGAAGATTCCATTGTGTACCCAGTTTCACTGGAGTTTGAGAATCGGTATTCAGCAGTGGGTTCAACCGTGTTTACAAAATCGCTAGTGGCGGAGCTTGTATGCGAAGAATCGCTTTGGAAAGTAAATTCATGTTCTGATGCTGAAACTTGAGCTATTTCTGAATCCATGGAGATGATCAAACCAGTGGTTGTAGGCAAATCAACAGACAAGGTTTGCATTGCCGAAACAGATGCATTGCTTGAGGAATCAATCGAGGTAGATGCAATGGATGAAGATTCAATTAGTGCAGACTCGGTTGATGCAGACTCAGTTGATACAGACTCAGTTGATGAGAATTTAGTTGATGCAGACTCAGTTGATGCAGACTCAGTTGATGCAGACTCGGTTGATGCAGACTCAGTTGATGAGAATTTAGTTGATGCAGACTCAGTTGATGCAGACTCGGTTGATGAGAATTCAGTTGATGCAGACTCAGTTGATGCAGACTCAGTTGATGAAGTGTCCATAGAAGAAGTCATTCTCAATGAAGTCACATTTGAGTATGGTTGGATGGATGAAGTTCCAGCTAATGAAGTTAAAACTGTTGATACTGATTCCTCTGACGAAGATGCGATTGATGCATATTTAAAATAAGTAGAAGCAACTGGTAAAGGTTTTGTCAATGATTCTGAAGTAGCGACTGGTGATGATTTTAATGATAACTCCGATACCAATGATTCCCCCAATAAAGTTTCGATTGATGAGCCAATAACAGACGATGCATTAGTGGATGAGTATACAATCGATGAAGCTTCCATTGAGGAGTAAGCAATGTATAAAGGTTCAACTGATGCATTCAATGAAGTTTGAAGTGACGAATAGGCAGTAGATGAGGATTCCATAGCTGAAGAGTCCATAGCTGAAGAGTCCATAGCTGGAGAGTCCATAGTATATGATTCCATAGCTGAAGAGTCCATAGTGTATGATTCCATAGCTGCTGATTCCATAGCTGCTGATTCCATAGTTGAATATGATAAAGACAAACCAAATGAAGATCCAGCAGACGGGTATGCGGTCGATGAGGTTGGAACAAAGCTGTTGTAGTACGATTCAGTCTCCATTAAAGTCGCAGCTGGTTGAGTAAGCATGTCAGAAGAGCTCATTTCTTCGGTGAATGATGACAACAACGAAGCAACACCAGTAGCTTCTGAATCTGCTCCGACAAGGAAATTTGCAATCAATGATGATGCAGATCGTTCATAACTGCCAATATCTATTGCAGAATATACCGAGCTGATGTTAGCAGAAGATAAAGCACTCGTTTCAGCAAATGACTCGACAAAAGTGGCGTTAGATGTAGTAGCAGAATTGACACCAGTGACTGAGATGCTGTAAGACAAAGATTCTTCCAAATTTATTGACTGTATTGAACCAATTGTAGATGATGCCATGGAGCTTTCTTGTTCACCACCTGATGAAGCCATCAGATTCAACAAATCAGAAGTTGAAGATGAAGCAATTGAAGTGAAGGAGTTGGGATCCATTGAAACAAAACGAGCTCCTGATGATGGGTAGTCGGTAGTAATGATCGGCTGTTCAGTGTATGCACCAGAAATATCAGAATTGTTAACTGTAGAAGCTTCAAAAATGATTGATGAGATTTGTGAGGAGAATTGCGACAAGCTGCCAGCTAAATTTTTTGAGGAACTGTCGACTGACATGATTGATGAGCTAGCATAATCTGTAGTCAAAGCTTGAGCCTCTGAACTTGAATTAGCTTCAGTTTCAACTGAGTAATAACTGGATAGAGTTTCTGTTTCAGCAACCGACTCAATTGTGTTATAAGACGAGGAAAACAATGTAGAAGATTGAGATGACGTTGTGTTGGCCCATCTTGCAGGAACAGAGCTTGATAAAGTGGTCACTGATGTAGAAGTGGCACTCGATTCAGCAGGGGTATAAGCAAGCGTCTCGTACTCAAACATACCGTCATCATCAATCTGAATGTTGAGAACTCTTGTTTGTTCCGAAACAATACCGTTGGAAGTATGAGTGACGGTGGTGAGAACTTGCGTTGGTTTAGTTCCTGGATCTACTGGTGCCAACTTACATACTTGACATTGAGCATGTGAATTCGATTGAGGTACTGGTCCATTGTAAGCAATAGCACCTTTGGAAACGTAGTTCAATTCGACGATGTTAAGATCAACAACGGCAAACTTGGATTTAATGTAACCTTTACCAATATTGAATTTAGCTGATCTCAAAAAGTTTCCAATGGACAAAATACCAGTATTTGAATCATACGACCAGTCGCCATTTCCAATGGCTCTGTTGATTGAAATCCTGTTTGATGCACCAACTCCTCTTTCTCCAAATCCTTCGACGTTGTAAGTTTGAGGATTGATGAATGGCTCAACAATGAATGAGGATTTTGAATCAGTTAATTGGAATATTTGTTGAGTTGAAACTGTTCTTTGAGGGTTAGCAAGATAAATTGAGGCATTTTCTTCAGCAGTTATGCACCCTTTTCCCATGAGATCATGTGCGTTTTGTTTGTAAGTTTTGTTGTAAAGACAGATTTGACCATTGTTGTAGACTGTTCCGAATGTAATTCCTGCATTGACGTTTTGTTTTGTTCTTGTGTATTGCGAAAGAACCAACAATCCATTATTTTCCCAAAAGATGGAATTAAGAAACATGTCTGAATCACCAGAACCAGTTAAATACATCTCACCATTGTTCTTGAATGAAGCACCAAGAAGATTGTAATGGGAGTCTCTGGCCCGTGGATGAGCTGTAAAAGAAATCAATCCGTCATTGACAATGGAGTTAACGACTCCCAATAATGTAACTGTTGAAGAAATCAATGGTGAAATACTCGACACAAACAAACGAGCCATGGGCTCGACATGTAAACTGGAAATGAAGGCAGAGTTGGCATTGTTAACAATGGACCAAGTAGCACCAGAATGAATGGTAATTTTTCCAGCCTCAAAGTTGTAAGCACCTCTAGCAACAGTATCTCTGTAAATGTCAAGTCCAGCCACGCACGTGACTATTTGAACAAAAATAATAATAAACAACATGATAGTAGTTTTGATGTATGAAATACCAGAAGGTTAATGAGTAGCAGTTAAGTGGATACTTTTGAAGTAAAGTGTTCTGGGATATGAAAGAGATTCTTCGTCAACAGATGGAAATAAACCATCTTCTTTATATGCTTTTATTTTGAATCATTAAACTGCACTGGTGCAAAAATTAAGAGATCGTATAGTAGGTGAACAAATCCCAAAAGAATTAAGTTTGTAAGAGATGAGTCGGCGGAATCTGCGCATTGACGGGGTAGCTTTTAGTTTGTTCTATTATATGTTTCTTCTTTGAGGAGTGTACATACCCGAAGTATTATAACGTTAAAGAATCCAAAGCCCTATGAATATTATTCCTCTCGGAGCAAACACATTGCCACGCCCAGAGTGGCGAGTAAAAATAAATGCCATGTTGTGACCACAGGGAAAGACGCAAAAACATATTATTTTACATGAACCTAAGCGCGGAGAAATACATTGATGAAAGGTGATGTGGGATGACAATTATAATATTTCCAATACAACGTGTAATATTATATTCCATCTCACACTATTGCAGTTGTGTTACATTTTGAAAAAAAAAAAAAAAACAAAATGGTGGAAGCTATTATCCCGTCAATTTGTGATAGAATCTTTCCCCGAATTAAATACAGGTACCCCCACACACTACTGAAAAAATTTCTGAGGACTGAGACGAATGTAGAGAACTTGAAGTTATACACGTGACTTGCTCGTGACAATTATTGAAGAGATATTAAGTATTAGTATATTAAATTGTCATAAAAAGTATTGCAATTAATGCGGCTAAGACCGAAAATGGGAATCTAACCGAGATTCCCTTGCTCTCATAAGCAGATATTTGCGGAGAAAGGATTGGGATTGAATTGTAAGGATCATGTGGTGAACCATTTGCAGTCCATGAACCATTCACTGCACCCCACGCCGAACCTGACACAACACCAGCAGAAGTAGATTCACCAGCAGCCTCACCCGTTTCAATGGATGGAGTACCATTCGCGGCACTGGCACCTTCACTCCACCCAGCTCCATAATTACCTGAAACTACTCTATCACTTCCATTAGACACACCTTGACCAAAGTTTTTGGTTGCGCCATCATCATTCTCTGAACTTGCATTGAACGCGTCAGAGCCAGTAGGAATTGATACACCCATAACCGTGCTGAGTGTGGTTTCAATTGATAAAGTGGTTCCGGTTGTGTTCGAGAAATGGAATCTTTGGACTGGTTCTCCAATATTAGTAGCAACCTGGATCCCAGTAGATGGATTGGAAGCTCTATCCTCAGCTTGAACTGTGGCTGCAGGCTTTGAAGATAACGATTGAACACCTCCCGGAGACAAGGGCATAACCACGTGTGTTGACGAGGGTGAAGCAACGTCGAGTGGAACTGTACTGGATTGATGATGTGGAGAGTAAATCTTGGAGGTAGTGAATGTTTTTGCTGATGCAGTCTGAATAGTTGCCTGTGCAATCGAGCTTGAATCAACTAATGAGGTTTTGACCACTGGGAGTTTGATTGTTGAATTTGAGGCAAAAAAAGTTGACTTTGATGTGGGCTCTGGTGATAAAGCTTCAATCAAAGAACTAGCAGAGTCTGATTTTAATAATTTTGAATGAGACTCCGATGATGAAGGGAATTCTAATGAACCTGCAATTGAAGTTGCTGATAAGGTCATTGCTTCAGAAGAATTGCTTCTTGCAGCTGATGATGGAATAGTAGTCTGGTTGACAGCAAATGAAGGGTGTTGCCCATTGGATTTGACAGACGAGTAGGCAGATTTGATAGTGGTAGGTGTTGGAAGCGACAATGACGAATCACACAATGAATCAGTTTCAATGGCGTTTGAGGCGACTTCACCAGCAACATTTTGCACTAATGTCTCTTTGATGCTGGTAGTCTCTAAAACAACTGAGATTGTTGATGATGGAGTCACAACATTGTTGCTTAGGAGCTCCGAAGATTCTTTACTTGCACCAGAATGGTCTGATGAGTTGAAGTGAGGTACTGCCTTTGATTCCTCGATAGTTTGAGCTAAAGTCGAAGTTGATATTATGTCTTTTGCAGATTCAACATCAGTGGCATTAACCAAAGTCGTATTCATTGACATTAAAGATGAAACGTCAGATGGTGCATAGTATTGTGAAGCATCAATGAATGAATCGGTGGTTGTTTTCTCTCCGGATGGGCTGTAAGAACTAGTCATGGTTTGATGTGGGGATGGAATTGAAGTTTGAAACGTAGCGGCAGTATTCACTTTGTCAGCAATAGATGGATTCGGCGCTAAGACAGCTGCTCGGTTATCACCTTTATCAGTTAACGTAGGTGTTTCAAGGGAAGAACCGTACTCGCTCGTTGAGACAGCTTCAGCCACTGTGGTATCCAAAGATGCGGCACCAGAAGGCAAGAGTTGCTTCGATATTGCTGAGTAACCTGCTGTATCGCTCGATGAAACAATATATATTTCTTGATTGTTTACGGACGAATCCGTTGATGGTTGCGAAGTGGCTTCCATAGACAAAACATCCACGTCCATGGTCAGAGCAATGCGACTTTGCTCCATTGAGTTAGAGCTGGCATGTACGGATTTGTTGTCACTGGTGGTAGATTCTAGCTCCAAATATGAATCTGAAGTTTGAGGCATTTGACCCTGGACTGATAAATCCCCCACAGACACTATTAAACTTTCTGATGCTTCATTTGAAGGCTCTAACGAAATTTCGGTCTCCAGTTGCTTTTTCAAAAAATTAGACAGGTGTTGACCGTTGGACTCGACCCAAGAATCAATTGATGAGATTTCAGTGGCTGCGGATGCTTCAATAGAATTTGACAACGTAGCTATAACAGCTATGGCACTCACTTGAACTGCATCTGATTTATAAACAGCTGAGTTGCCTTCAGAAGCACTGGCACTGGCACTGACACTGGTAGTCTCGCTTTCCGCAACAGCAGCCTCTGTAGTTTGCAACAAGTCAGAGTCATCTTCCGGTAGTTCAGTACCTGGAGCAAGCGGTGGGAGCTTACATGATCTGCATTGTGCTGGCATGGCCAGGTTCGGAACTGGGGCATTATATTTAATAGCCCCTCTTTCCACAAAATCCAATTCAGTGGTGTCAAGATCCACAACGGCAAAATCACCTACATTATATCCTTTTCCAATGTTAAAGTGAACCATGCTATTGGAAGAGTTACCCACGCGCAAAATCCCGGTATTTGCGTCATACGACCAGTCATTTTCAGCAATTGGTCGGTTTATTGACACACTATTGGATACACCATCGGACTTTTGACCGAACCCAGAGACTTTGTAAACTTTAGTTTTGGAATGAGGCTCAGCAATAAAGGATGAATGTGAATCTTTCAAGTAGAAGATCTGCAGATTTGAAACCAATTGTTGTGGATTGGCAAGATAAATCGATGAATTCTCCTCCGCTGTTATGCACCCTGAACCTTCAATGTCGTAGGAGTTTTGCATGTATGACTTGTTGTAAAGACAAATCTGACCTGAATTTGTGATTGATCCCAGGGGTACTCCAATATCAATTGATCTTTGAGTTCTTGTAGCTTGTGCAAAAACCAACAATCCATTGTTGAGGAAAAAATCAGAATGGATACAGATCTCCGAATCGCCACCACCAGTTAAATACATTTCACGACTGTTTTTGAACGCCTTACCATCAATATGGAAACGGGAGTCTGGTGCTGAAGGATGGGCCGTGATTGCAACTAACCCGTAATTGACAATTGAACTTGTATCACCAAACATTGTAACAACTGTGGAGATCAGTGGCGATGTACTTGTAAGGAAAAACCGCGCACCGGGATCAACATACAAGGTTGAAACCAATTCCGACAATTCATTATCGACAACCGACCAATATGCACCAGAATGAACAGTTGATGTACCAAGACCAAACTTGTAATAATCTCGCGTAATTGTGTCGTAGTAAATATCAACACCAGCCACGCACGTGATGACATACAAAATAAATGTAATCAATATTTTCACAGCAACCATTTTGAGTACTTTGAGTAGATTGATAAAAACACTAGTTGGTGGGCGGATGTATACAGGTGGGTGAGATAATTGGCTCATCAATATGGACAAAGATGGTTAACTTTATACCTCATTGCATTTTGGTATTACTGACTTGACCATGGGATGCAAAACAAACAAATAATAAGAGATGGGTATAGTTCCGCAACATTTCTCAAATTCAAAGAAGGAAGCCGGGGAAAATAGTCTCCAAAGTGATATTATTTGACTGTGTTGTATGTATCTTACCAAGAGAATTCTATTAAATATGCGGAAAGGAGCCCAAAGAGTAGATATTATTTTACATTTATTGTTCTCCAAAGAAATATTTCATGCTATATGGTGGATACAAATGATTATTATTGAAAGAGATATGTTCCGAATGTAACAATGCAGCAGTGGGGATTAATACGTGGTGTTGACGAAGAAAATATTTCGTTCATTTGCCTATTATAATAATTATTTTATTATATTCCGAAAAAGAATCTGGTTACGAAGTGACACCATGTTCTCGGAAAAACTTAACCCAAAGATTTCCACCATGCAACCTGAATTGTAACAGTAGGATATTCCGTCCTTTTCCGTCCTTGCCTTTTCTCATTTTTCCACTTATTCCAATCTCTCTGTATTTTGCAACAATGAAAGTTTTGCAGTTCAATTGATCTCCAAGATTATTTCATTCCACGAGGCGACACTCCTAAAACCACAAGAGAGACAAAGACAGAGTACTTTCACGTGATGTTAGGTTCAACCATTTCCATTGCGTCCACTACCCACGTCTATAAAACAATAAAAGTAAAAAAAAGAAAAAAAACTCTCAAAGTAAATCATCTCTCAACACTGCTCACGCTTTCTGCCTTCTTTGTTCAATCATTTCATCCAACATTTCATCCAGTGTATGCTGCAAGATCCCCACCGCGACCGAATTCGATCGATAATAGCTAGGCCGGTTCTGTTTATACTTCATTACCGAAGACTCGACAATTTGCTGCGGATTGTTTCCCAAATGATTTGATTGCGGGAAATTAGAATACACTGGCGCCTTATTGTAATGGTTATTAAATTGATGGTGGAAAATGTTTTCACGAAGTATGGATTGTGGAGTCGATGGCGGTTGTTTATGTTGTTGTGATGTGGTGGTGGCGGCAGCAAGCCGGGCCAAGAACCGAGCTTTCTTGTCTGAGGGTCCCGTTTGTGAGTCATCCTTTTCCATAGAGTCTTTTTGTGATTGTGGTGGTTGTGATTGTGCAGAGAAGCGAACTGGTCCCGCAGTTGATGGATCAAGGTACTTTGTTGACGATGGGTCGAGATGCTTTCCTGGGGGTGGCACAAGCTTTGCTGCCGGTGATGCATTACTTCCACGAGATGATGGCGGTCCTTGCTTAAATTGTACAGATTGAACAGTAGATCTGGAAGCGTTATCCGGAGTCGTAGAATCGAGTAGATCAATTGGAACGTCTTCAAAATCATGCGAATCACTATTGAAGATAACGGCGTCTGATGCCAAAGCAGAATTATCACGCGATACTATGTAAGGCAACCTCGAATCATGCGATTTGGAACGTTGACCAAATGATAAGAATGGTGGTTTTCTTGAAGGTGTCACTTTCGAGTGGAAAGCAAATGACAAATCCTCTTCATCTGAGTCATCATCATCGTAGCCCTCGTGGTCGTCGTCCTCCCCTTCGTCATCCTCTTCAGCGGCTGAGTCATTTTCAGAATCACCACTGGAGGAAGAATACGACGAGTATGATTCGCTGCTAGAATGCCTACTCAAAGAAACAACAGGCTTTGCACCAGGCGCAACACCATCATCATCACTGGGTCTCTTTTTATTGGGTCTGGACTTGCCAAAATTCATCAGATTTTCCAAATTAAAAGACTCAAACTTGTTGTTCAATTCAGATGCGGGGTCATTGAAACTCTTTTTGAGTAAATTCGAGTCGGAAAAACTTGACCTTTTCCTTAATGATGTAATTGGACGTTGCTCGACTGGATCCGTTATGGTATATGGCTTATACTTCAAATGCAATACTTCGTCATTGATACTATCCAATGATGCAAAACTTCCAGTCAAAGGTAAGGACATAAATGAGGCTCCCACTGGATCAACACCAGCATCTGCATCGGCATCTGCCAGGTTGTTATCACCGCTCGATTTGTCAATATAGTTGTACAAATGTCGGTCACCAGTGGGTCCTCTGATAGGATCATCTCCTGACATTTCATCCAGCTTCAAACGGTTATTGTTGCGGAAAAATTCAAAGTTTGGTTTGACTGCAGGGACTGGAATTGGTGTAACTAGCGCTGAGGTTGTATCCTTGGATAAGGACGATGGTGGCTGTGGTTGTGGTTGTGGTTGTGCTTGCGGCTGCATCTCCAGTTGGTTTGTATATACTTGTAGTCCCGGCATTGATTGATTACCATGTACCTCATGCGAGATTGAACCCTTGTGTGATGAACTGACTTGATTGGAAAACAAGCTTGAACGTCTTCGTTTATCATCTTGCTCTTGTATTCCCTTAAATGTGTCAACAATCGATTGATTCTTCAAGTACAAGTTTCCTCCGACATTTCGTTTCGTTTCAATTTGTGGCGCTTCAACAATTGGAATGGCAGCAGCGCTCCCTCTTCTACTTGAAGCTCCACTGTGCGATTCAATTATATCATGGATGAAACTTTTCCGAGCAAAACTTCCCCTTCTACTTGGGGTCCCACTTTGAGAAGATTCCAATCTCTCATGAAGTAAGCTTTTAGTGCCACCTTCTTTATATCCAGAAGTGCTGGAAATAGCAACTGGTGTATGCACAGACACAGGTGAGCTGGAATTGCTCGAGACTTGCTGCGACAAATGCGATGGGATATGAGGATTGTGGGTAAATGAATCATTACGCGATCTCGTCTTTGTAACTCGTGGGTCGTCGCCATTCAATTGTAATGGAGATGCAACAGCCATTGGCTGTTCAGATAAGATGACCGAGTGATTATTGTTCTGCATAGAATTAAGCTTGTAACTTGAATTAAAAGTCGAGTATCCACTAGAAGATTCATCACTGGATTCGCTTCTCGAGTGCTCCATTTGCAAAGCATGAAACTTGTTCTTCAATTCTGAATCTTTGATTCCTCCGGCCTTAATCGCCCTTACCAAACTTCTCTTGATTCTAGTGCCGCAACCAATGACGGCATTTTCGATTTCGTCATTAGTTACAATATCCTGATCGCTCAAGTTGAAATCTAAAGGACTTGTTGCGGATGTTGTGTTTAAATTAAATAGCTCATGCAATGCGTCCAAATTATTGTCAAGGTCCATTAATGTGAATGGATGCTCCTTGATTTCTTGTATTGTAATACGTTCTGAACTCTTTTTACGCAAGAGCTTCCCAAGTAAATCCTTCGCCAACTCAAACTCTTCGTCGGTTACTGGACCGGGGGGATGAAATGACTTGATATCGGGTGGGAATTCTAATGGTTGGTTCACAATCACATTGAAAAGTTCAAATTCCGAGTCAGCATTGAAGGGAACTTTGCCAAACAACAAACAGTACAAAGTAACCCCAAGTGCCCAGATATCAATTTTGTAGTCAATTTTCAGCGATTTGGGACTCGTCAGGGAGCCGCTAATGCTATCCTCCGATTTACCAACACTGCTACTAATGCTTCTGTTGCTGTTACTGTTGCTGTTACTGTTGCTAGCATTATCCTCATCATCGTCGAATTGACACAATTCAGGAGCAAAAAAAGCTGGTGTACCAGCCGTCTTGGCCAAATCCAACTCATTAACCAAAACACCCTGATCTTCCTCAATCAATGATGAAGCGATGGAAACTCCAAAATCGCTAATTTTAACAACATTATCGGATGAAACCAACAAATTTGCGGGCTTTATATCACGATGCACAATCCCCTGCATATGAAGATATTCCAAACCCAATAATACGTCCCTGAATATCTTTCTTGATTGTTTAAAAGTCAAGTTGGGACTATATTCATTTGATAATAGATCCTCTTCGCTAGTGGAAAAACGATGATGAGGTTGTCGAGGGCCCAGCCCATTTCCTCTGCAACACGGTATTTCCAGGTCACTGCAGTCATTGTTCAGCTGATTTTTGCCATTCTGTACATCTTGCTGAAGCCTTTTCCACTTGATTTCACCCTTTTCCATATACTCCAATACTAGGTATATCTTGAATGAACTTGTGTCATCTAGAACCTCCTTTAGTGAAACAATGTGCTTATGGCGGCATTTCTTCATAATGGCAATCTCCCTCTTTATTTTCAATTCGTGATCGCTAATACTACTGGTTTTGCCATTTGTGTTGTTTCGTATTCTCAATGACGGTCTCTCCTTCTTTGATTTTCGATTGACAATCTTGATGGCAACAAGTTCGTTATTTATTAAATCCTTGGCCAACTTGACTTTACCGTGTTCACCTCTTCCAATTTCCTTCAATATCTCAAAAGTATTCAAGACTTTTCTTTTCGTTATGGGGTCATATTCTAATAAAACACGATTAGTTTCCTTGACTGGTGATTCATATCCCGATGGTGTAGAAGGTCTAGAGCCTGTGCCAATAATATTAGACTGTGAATGCAAAGCAGATGTATGCTGGGTATATGGTGACAATAGCAGTGATGAGTTAGGGGATCGGAGTCTGGATATGGGATGTACAGTGGTGGTGGTGGTGATGTATTTGGTGCTGTCGTTATTACCAGTGTGCTCTAATTTGGCATGCAATTTATTCATCGCTTCGTTACAAGGTGCTGGTGAAGGTGATAATGGCTGACGTGGAGACATGGGATCCCTGTCGGTATATTGAGTTGTGGAATTCGCTTGGTGGTTGGGATGCTTTGCACTATTGTTATTATTTTTCTGTGGCAAGTGGTCGAAGGACAATCTTTTCGGGGTGGACAAAGGAGAGCATTGATGGGACCGATCATCATATTTTTGATACCTATGTGATTCGTGAAGGTTTGGATCATTTCTATGGGTGTGCTTTCCTGAAATTTCCTGTCGTTTGAGGCCAAATGTAGGAGATAATGACTGCAAGTGTAGTTGTGCTTGTGCGTTGGAGTTCAAATCTCCATTATCGACTGAAGCGTGATTCGGAGTTGACGGAAAGGTAGTTTTCGTCGTCGTTGATGACGGCGATAGATCCAACTTTGACATTTGAGACTATCTCAGAAAGGTGTAGATGAAAAATTGTGTAGGGAGTGTCGTTTTTGCTGAAGAAATTTTTGAGGCGATAGCTGCTTTGGTATAAGATCAAAAAACACACACACACACACACACAAACAAACAAACACACACTGAGCTTTGGGAGCGATCAATAGCTCTGCGGTGTAGTCAGTATGCTTAACACGCGAAGGAACTTTGGGCAGTTATGTAAGTCCCAAAGACGCAAAAGTAGTAATGGGGAGTTGTTTGCCGGAGTGTGTTGGCAAGTGTGTGTTTGTAAATTTAAAAGTGGTGATAAATGCAAAGTGATGATTCAAAAGTGAGCAAGTCTCTTTAACTTTGACTTTAGTTGTGGCCTTGAGTTGCCTTGTTGACACTCTGGTGTATGTAGCTTTTGTCTCAGGGAGTGGGGGATGGGATTTGATTGTGTTTGGTTGTAATAATTGTATGACTGAGTGTTGAGATTTTTTTTCTTTGAGAGGGGTATGGTTGTGTGTGTGTATGTGTGTGTTCTTTGGCTTGTCTTTTGTCTTTTGTCTTTTGTCTTTTTTTTTTCTTCTTTTTTAGCGAGATTTTATGACTAAATAACTATTGTACCTTTATATGTAGATCTTCCAATTGCTATTCTCAAATTACTTAGTTCAGATGATTCTCTATCTTTTTGAAAGCAAGAGAGATACGCATATGTAGATGCTAAGATGGATATAATGTGATATAAGATTAATTCAGATGTTCTGTAAAGCAAGTATAGAGAGTCATAATCAGAAACGAAATAAAAAAAAAAAAAAAAAAAAATTAAACTGAGGGGTCTCTGCTGCTTTACTTCCTATACAGTTTTTCTTCTCCTCTTTATATCCCCCTTACCCCTTACTTTCCTCCCAATTAGTTTGAAAACAGCACTACACTAATAGAAGTTAAAGTTCTACTGCAATTATCTGTTCAGCAGTACTACTACATTGGTGGGGCAACGAGAAGAACATTATTCTAATAAGAGCAATAGTAGTGTACTTGTGTACCTAAAACAACAATCTCAAATGATCTTATTTTCTCTCTTGTTCCATCCCATCCCCACCTTCTCCTTCTCTAGAAACAAAAAAAATAAAAATAAAGAAATATTAATCAACACACACAATTACGTAATTTGAGATTCATTTATTGGATTTACGAGATATTGTTAGGTCGTGTGATTACTAAAATACATTCATATACAGTTTACTAATACTATTTACTCTCCTGTTTCGGAAAGAAGAAGCAAAGAAGAAGAGAGATGTAACTCTTCTATATACTATTTTATAGTTTTACTGTCAATAGTATCTTACTCTCAGACTCACAATATACACATTCTACTGGCAGACAACTTTTCCTACATCACCAATAGTTTGCAACAGCTTGTTCAGAAGAAATCAAAGTTGACATTCCTTCTGTAGTCTACTTCTCTCATTCGGTTCTGCTCTTCCTTCTGATGCAGCCACTAAGAACGGATATAAACCTACAATCATTGGCTCCTGGATGCTGTCCACTTTTTGCTATGTATTTTTTGGCACATAAATTTAGCCCTTTTTTTGCCTTTTTCATTTCTTCTTTTTTTGCAACACTCGTCTTACATAATAACATTCCCATTTATAAACACCACTGCCTTCTCTGAATATGGACTCACATCACCTTCTACCTGGGTATGCAAGTCGAGAGAGTAGACTCGACAGTATCATGGCCAAACAGCAACACCAATACTTCAATGGAAGGACTAAAGTTGATGTTTCTGCCGATGAAACTGATTTACAACCAAACAACAGCGAAAATGATATTGATATTGATATTGATGATAACGGTCAAGGGCATACTATCAATAAGCCAGATGCTGCAACAATAAACATGTACTCACAGTTGAGACAGCTTTACAACGAGGAAAATTTCAATGAAATCATGTTCTTGCTTCCTGAAGTATCACAATTGAATACTGTGCCACCAATATTCCATTTGATTATTGGTTGCACTATGACCCATTTCGGCAGATTGCAGAGCGCTTTTAGAGAAATTGGGGTTTCCATATGCTTAGCAACAAATGATTCAGACAGAAAGGAGTTTATCAAAGTATTGGCATATACTTACGCCGATTTAAATGATCAAGATTCAGCTATGGGATGTCTTGGTGAAGTATTAGACATGTCACGAGGTATATTGTTGAATACAAAACAGTTTGATGAAATGAAACTTGAAATATGCCAACTTGAAAAAGACCTTTTGTTGAAGTTGGAACAATCAAAGTCAAGCAAGTACGTTTTGGTGACAGCTTTGCATTTTTTTTTTTTTAAATCCTCTCTTGTTTTACTAACATTTACTTCTTCGCTTCTAGAAATCCTACCAACAGCAAGAGTAAATCATTTGAAGATCAGGTATTGGATTTAATTGCATTGAACAAAACATTTCCCAAAACTTCATTCACTGGTAAGTGTCAGATTATTATTCAGAAACTTAATCACGCTGAAATTTTGTTGCAAAAATGGGATAAAGAAAGGGATCCATTGTTGAAGCACAACCCTCTTAAACTAATGCTTGATGCTATATTTGTCCTTGGTCCCAGCATTGCTTACTATGGAATGTTGAAGTTAGAACCAATCATGAATCAATACTTTGAATTTATTGAAAATAATTCAAAAGTCGGCAAATCTCCAAAGTCTAGAGCTGTCTCCTCATTTTTCTTTTTGGGAGGATTGAATCCTGTACGTGGGAATAGTGGGCGAGGAGGAGGAGGAGGAGGAGGGAGAGGTGGAGTACCAGGCTCTGATAACAGCGGTTATTATGTACCATACAGTCCACTGGCAACAAACTGTATGGCATCCGCCCAGCAGGTAAAGATTATTAAGGGGTTCATTGCCATGTTGCGCCACAAATACAAAGAAGCTTACGAATTATTCCACGAAGCACAGGATGAAAATGCTGAAATTTATAACCATGTTTTGACTCTCAAATACATTTGCCGATCAAATATACCCCAATTATCTAGGAGGGAGTTGGAAGTTCTTGGGGATAAAATCAACAAGCTTCCATTCGTTTCTACTTTTAAATTCTTTACTTTGGCAACCATTTACCAAAACTTGTATCTTTTACAACAAGCTGGTTCATCAAGACACAGAAGGAGAAGCTCAATGACGAGTGGACCAGCTCCTAATTACTACAATTTGCTGATGAAGCATTTCATATCAGCTGCCGCATACGCTCAAGATGATGACTTGTACGTTACACTGCACTATGACAATATCTTGAATTTCTTGATAAATGCGGGAAAAGGATATTTTGGCAGTGATGACGAGGGTGGCAGCAAAATTGACAAAAAGCAAATACCCACATTGGCATTCTTTTATCAAGTGCGTAACTATTTTTGCTTGAAGTCGGATTACAACTACCTTCACATCCCGAATTTGGTTGGCGATTGGCAAGAGATTAAAACCAACACTGAATTAAAGCTGCAAATTGAAAAGTTTTTGGACTCTGATGCTGATGAACTCACCAACGGTGTTGAAAATTCACATCTGCATAGTAAAACCCACAAGGGAGATGGTAAACTGTTTGACATGATTAAGTTTTGGGAAAAGGAGTATCTCAAGTTCAAGGGAACTATGCCGGATACCATAAAGCAGTACTTGAAGAAAACTTGAGTGTTGGTTGTATAGCTTTTATAGATTCACACGCAGTTGATGTATATAGCTAGAAACTTTTGATTCTTGCAATTGTAAAGATCTGACACAAAAAATGGAGTCAAAAAATGTGAGAGCGAAATCAGACGCAGAATGAGACGGTGATCGATGTGACGGTACGCGTCATCTAAGACTACATGCGCCAATACAAACCCCATGATCGAATATCAACTAAAGACAACCATATAGCAACAATCAAATACGTGGGTCACCTCCCACAATGGGGGTCTCAAGTCACAGCGTACGGATTGGAATGGGACGATGCCAGTCGTGGTAAAAACAATGGCCAAATAAACGGTGTGTCATACTTCACCCCCGCCGTTGCCGAGTCGGCAAGTTTCATAAAATCAACCAATAAGAACATCAATCATGACCGCAAGTCGTTTGTACAAGTGGTAAGGGAGCAGTACCTTGATGTGGACCAGTATGAAGCCAAGGGGATTACTTTTGGTGGTAAAGTTGTTGAAGAGGTTGGGTGGCTTGAGTTGAATGAGTTTCATTCGCAGTTGCGCAATTTGACGTCGTTGAGTTTAGATCATCTGTTGATTTATTGTGTGGTTCATGATGGTGATGGTGATATTGATGTGAAGGATGTGTTTGGTGGCTTGTGCAATTTGACAAATTTGGATCTAAGTTCCAACTTGTTCAGCAGCATGGATGATATTTGGCAGATCGTATCGCGATTGCCCAAGTTGGAGGTGCTCAATATCAACGGAAATAGATTTGGTAGCTATGGAAAGGCGATTGACCCCGACGCGGATCGATGTTTTACCCATGCGAGTTTACGAGTGTTGAAAATGGCGTCAACTTTGACTCCAATAACTCAAGTGAGTTCAATAGTGTCGAGGTTTCCTCATCTACGGGAATTGGTACTCTCGGGAAACTATTATTCCAATGACGATGTCAATAAATTAAATCTTTGTGAAACAAGTGCTATAGACTCATTGGATCTATCATACAATGCTATAACTGAAATCCCAACCAACTTGCCCCAAACTATACACAATTTGAACGTATCGTATTGCTTAATTAGCGCCATTGGGAACAACAACAGAAAAGACAGCGGGAAAGGGTATAATGATGGTGCCAGCTCAATTGAATCACTCGATGTTCGGCGTAATCAAATTTCAGCTTGGTCAGACATCAATAACTTATCTCAATCATTCCCGAAATTGACCTATTTAAAGATCAACCATAATCCAATTTTTGATGACCTAAGTGTTGACGATATGACTTGCCAATTAATTGGACGTTTCGAGTGTTGCAGCTGCGGTAATCAGGATGTGCCTGGAAATGGGAAAGAAAATGGGAAGTTGGGCATCTTGAACGGGTCAGATTTGACATCAGCCGAAATTGAAAATGGTGAATTGTACTTTATATCCAAAGTTATGCTGCGTCAGTATGATCCACCCAATGCAGCAAGATGGGAAAAGTTACTACACAAGTATGGTAAGTCGGACGATAAACGAAAAGAGCATTCCGTTGTGAACTTTCAACCGAAACGATGGATTAACTTGATGTTGAAAGTACGCCACATAGATGACTCGGCAACGGAGGAAGACGAAGCAGGACAGGAGTCAGCGAGGGTTGGCGTTGAACCTGCTATTACATCACACTATACGACATTATCCTCTCACAGGTTTCTCAAAACAACATCAATTCTCAAATTCAAAGGTTTAATCTCACGTCTATTCTTATCCAATATTTCAATACTTGAATTCAATGTCTATTACTACATAAACGAAGACACGAATTTTGCCACTAGGTATGAATTTGATAATTGGTCGAGTTGTTTGAATGATTTCGTATTAGGTGAAGAGCAGAGCATATATATAGACTTGCATCAGAAATAAAAGACAAATTATACAACACGACGTCAAGCAACTAAGCTAGTAATTTGTACTGATTTCAGATGCACTCTTTGCACAAACTGTTAGAGTCCATCCCAGTTTTTTTCAACTCGACACCTTCTGTTACTTTCACTCGTCTTGGACCCTCCTACTCTCTATGACTCCACAATCCATCACCCAAAAAATGCAACAACTCAATACCAATACCCTTGTTCTTCTTCTTAATATCATCAGTACTCATGACCAACTTCCCAATAGCCAATGCATTCTCCTTCCCCTCAGCATAAACAGCAACAATAGTATCCACCGGCAAATTCTCCTCGGGCAATTCACCACCTTTAGAAGTCAATCCGGGACACATGATATTTGCACCACTCATTACAAACTTGATAGCTCCCCTATCCACTTGCACACGAGGGAACAAAGTTGGGTATTTATGCACGGTTTTCAAAGTGGGTATGAGATCGGTAAAGTGTTGGATCAAGACGATTTCGTTATTGTCAGCAGTAACCTCGTCGTCATCACTGGCGTTGGCTCCGGGATTATTTGTATTGTCAACTGAATATAACTGGATCTTGTCTTCGCATTTTATCAATATGACTTGTGATTTCTTGGGTATGATGTTATCTATTGCATTTGATAAATCAGGATATGCGGTAACGAAATTTGATTTCAAGCCTCGTTGCACTGATGATTTGATATTTGAGCGTGAATGAATGTCCTCTTTTGAGAATTTTTTGAACATGGTTTGTTGTCAATTCGGCGTTGGATGGGCGGTGATCTATTTGCCTCAGGTTCTGTTTGCTGATGAAGAATGATGCAGTTGAAATGAGCTGAAGTAAAGAAAAAGAAAAAGAAAAAAAAAATTACATGAGATAATCCTGGTTGCCAGAAGAGAGGAGTCAAACTACTACACTGTAACAAGTGATTTTCATAAACGCAATAGAATACAAATGTCAAGATTTATAATTACAATGCCACCATCCAGTATAAATACCTTGGTGTCATCGCACTCAAAAGAAATCTTAGAGTCAATCTTGCCTATTACCCCAAAACAAAACCCCTCCACATACAACACATATCTCCCACCCCCTTGATGAAACAAGGAGGGGAGGGAGGGAGAGCTGAATGAGAAGGGCAAAGAGGAGCATCCAGCTCAAGATTTGATAAACCGCATTCGTAAACAAACACGACCCAAACCGAGCGAGGCACAAGGCGTTGGCAAATGAGAAATGGGAATCTCCAGTAAAATAAAGGGACTTTCAATCTCTCCCCAAACTAAAAGCATCACACTTTGGAAATGACGAGGTTTCCATCTGTCTTCGTCACTAATCAAAACAAAGCGTAAAACTTGAACCGAGGAGATGTGAAATGGAGACTATAGTCACTATTCTCCTTCGAGTACCTTGTGACTCTTTGAAAAGACCATGGGTGAAACACGAAATGGTTTCCATAATCCTGTCTCAAAAAGACTCCGAATAATAGGTACCCACATTGTATGTTATTACCAATGTGGTTGTAAAAAAGGAAAGGTTTCCAAAAATTCTCTCACTTGTTCGATGCATGAAACATCAATCAAATGAGAAGTTGTCAGGTTTATAAGTTTTCAACCAGCAAAAACATGATCTCGGACTGAATCCTCACTGAAACACGTAATGCCCCTGCATAAAGATGAGGAAAGAAGAAGAAGAAGAAGAAGAAGAAGAAAAGAATTTTTTTTTTCTGTCTCTGTCCCTGTCTCTCGTACTCTGTCTCTCGTACTATGTATCCTGTATATAAAACACTACACACTCTATTGGTCCATACAAGTTATTGTTTAACAATACCAGTGTAATGAGCAATAACATCGTCTAAATCATCGTCCAACAGATATTCCTCATCACAAACCTGAGTTGAGTTGGTGGTTGACTCCAGGGTAGCTACTACTGGTATTTTTGTTACTGGCATAGTAGTTGTAGATTCGGTACTATTAGGCTTATCAAACTTGGTGATAGCATTTGTTTGCAGTACTGTTTTACCAGTCACTGACTCTACCACTCTAGGTCGCCTGACACCTAAAGATTTCCGCTTCTGTGTCGATGTGCTACTGAATTCTTCAGATGACTCCAACTCCTCTTCACAAATCAACATCCGTTTCTTGGGTAAGTGGTCACAGTTCAACACATGTGGCTGCTTCTGCAAACCTAGTGTCTTTGGTATGTTCTCAGACACGAGTGGATTATTTTGTTGTACACCATTCAGTTTTGCTACTGAAGCAAGTGCTGCAACAGCGTCATCATCTTCATCACTAAAAGTAAAAGAGTCGTCATCGACAATATCCAATTCTTTGACCACGCCGGGATCTGAAACACTCCGTTTCCAATCGTCACCAGTCTCCGAGTTGAAGCTTGTCGAGGGGGTGTGGTTATCTATGTGTGTTTTCGCGCCATTTGGCAACACCATGTTACTTTCCACCGTGGTTGGATGATCGTCATTTTCCAAAGATCGCTCCATTGTGATCTCTATGTCTGAGTCGACCCCGTCATTGTGTCTCACATAATTCCCCTCGACCACGTCTCCGTCATCGCAACTTCCGGGTTGTTTCTCCATGGTGATATCCACCTTATTATCTGACTCCGCCGACTGGTATAGCTCCAAACAGTTTCGTTTAGTGGTTTTACTTTTCAAACCCAAAGCAACCTCTATATCATCATCACTGTCGGATTTAAGAAGCTCCAAAGAGCTTCCACCACGACCAAGGGGAACACGTACGGACATTGTTTGATCACTTGAATCTTTCAACATTTCTGAAACATTCTTAAATCCAGTCTCAACATTATCGGGCATGAAAAACTTCTTTGCATGCTTTTGCTGTTTCTTAACAAAAGCAGCTTTCTTTTTGGAAGTGTTTCCCGTCATATACTGAGTTGCTATTTTTATTATCTCATCTTCATCCTCTTCCTGTTTCATTTCCATGTTCTCTTCTGGGATCTCGATAAACTTTTCAACTACTTGTGGAGTGTACTGATCGGGTATGATTCTGTTTTGCGGACACAACGTTATGAGATCACCCTTCATTATATGATCTTGGATATATTCGTATCCTGCCATTGCCTTATCAAATTTCGATTCTTCATTACTCGAAAACAACAAGAGAACTTTACCATCCCGTTTACGACCGGTTCTACCCATTCGTTGAATGTTCTTGATGGGCGAGGAAGTTGAGTCATAACATACAATCAAGTCAACTTCACCAATATCCAAACCTTCTTCACCAATCGATGTTGCAACGAGAATGTTGTATTCCCCCGCCTTGAACTTTTTGATGATTTCCTTTTGTAGCTTTTGATTCATCCCGCCAATTTGAGCATTTTCCGAACTTGTACGCAGTGAATCTCTCTCATCCCCTTCCTTTTTTGGCTTCTTATTCTTTGCTCCCTTTTTCTTGCCAAAATTTTCAACGTCAAATTTTTCCTTCTCCTTGGCCTGCCCAATGAAAATGTGTGGTTTGAAAGAGTTACCAGCTTTCTCTATACTTTTCACTATTTCTAACGCTGACTCTCGAAATTCGGTAAAAATGATAACCCTTGAACTTGCATCGCTACTTTTCTCTTTGAAAAAGTCTTCAAGCTCCTCCATTAGTGCTTCAATCTTTGGATGACTAAACGCCTGACTCGAAATCGCATCTTCTTGCGCTTGTATCAACTGTGTGATGAATTCGCTGTAATAAAAATCAGCATTCAATTTGTTTTTCGATTTCTTCTTCTTCCACTTTGTATCAAACTCTTGAAACTTGTTCATAAAGTAGCTGTAAAAAGAATTAACCCCGTATATATTTAGCCTTCGGTAGCATTGACCAACGGTTCCAAGTAGTTGCAAAATAAAATAGTTGGTCCATTTAAGTCCTTCTGGTATTGAGTGATTTGCCATTAACCGTCGTGAAGCTTCCATACACTTAAAAGCATTGATTCTCGTTGGATCAGTAACATCAACCAAGCCTTTTTCGTTGGCAGTTTTTAAAATGGGGGCGATTGCCCTAGATAGCAAGTCCACACAATTCCGAATTTCTTGAGACGTATCCAAAGTTCGTCGACTGATCTTCTTTCGTTTCATATACTTTACGATATCGATACTCTGTTCAGTCCTTACTTCCACTTTGGATATTTTCAAATTATCAATCACATCCTGTACTCCCTCGACATCTGCTGCTGGTGTTGCCGTCAATGCTAAAGTTCGAAATGAGTCATTAAATCGACGGAGAAAATTAACCACATTGTTGTAGGAATAATTACCACGTGCTCTATGTGCCTCATCAATAACCAAAAGCACAATCGACTTTGGGTTCACCACCCCCGAAGCCAAATCATTTTCAACCACTTGTGGCGTGGTGAAAAACACCTGACGCGTGTTCCATATATCTTCACGATTCTTTTTAGTCTTTTCCAATAGAATCGCAACCTTGGAGCTTGATATACCAGTTATTGAACAGCAAGCTTTGATTTGCTGTGCAACTAAGGGCTTTGTAGGAGCCATAAATATTATCTTGGAGCTGGGGAACCATCGTAAAAAATTCAACATAACAGTCGACGCAATGAACGTTTTGCCTAGACCAGTGGGTAAAGCCACCAACAAATTGTCGTAAAATGCTTTACGGACTATGTTATACTGGTAATCGCGAACTTCAAAGTTGGTGGGGTATATATAAGTTTGCAAATTCCCAAAGTCCATTTCGTGGTGGGTAGGGATAACAATCTTTGGAGCAAGGGGTAAGGCATGCTGTACCTTACGCTTAGATGTTGGCAGTGTAGACAAGGAAGTTGTAGTATTGTTTATCGTCGCTTGCTTCTTCAGGGACACAGTTTTGGAAATAGCTAGTGGTTGCAGTCTTATTTGCAGACTCTGCTTTCGCCTCTTTGGTTGCTCCTCAACCAACTGTCCGCCATTGATCGCATCTTGAATTACTGGATCATTATCATCGTCAGAGAATGCCCAATCGTCATCCACATCTTCGATTTGCATCCTTTACGGGGGAGGGGGGGTTACGATGGACCGGGGGTGCTGTTATGACAACTGATTTTGGTACGCGTTTGTAACTGGAGCGATACGAAAAAAATATTTGCGTGTATTCCCAACTCACTTCCACTCTTCGAGCTCAGTGCATAATGCTGAAGATAGAATCCAACAACGTTGATCAGGAACCTAACCCATACGCCGTCCTAGAGAAGAGCATTCAAAAACTACAGGAGCCGGTTACCAGACTACTACGAAAACACGACGATCTCGTGGCCCAGAATTTGAGTTCAATGTCGAATTTAGCTACAGTACCCAAACTCAACCAGGATTTAAAGACAAGATTAAAAAGGGAATAGACAAACTTTATGTATATAATCTATTACTCAAGACCAAAATTGTCTCCCAAAAGACCGTCCAAATCAAATTCCTTTGCCCAGGAAGTAACAACTGTAGTTTGCTCAACTTTTGGTGGCTCTTTCTCACCACGCAAAGAGCTCTTTGGTCCTTCCAAGTTGCTATTCGTCTCTGCAACACTCTGTTTGGATGCTTTTGGTAAGGTCCAACCAATTATTCTACCATCTCTCCAATCATTGAGTACAGCCATTGCTGCTGCCTCCAAGTTGGGCACACCCCCCTTGCCTAATCTTCCTTTGGTTCTGGCAATATGGATCAAAAAGTGTTTGACAAACTCCTCCAAATCCGCCGATGGCAATGGAGGTAAATCATAGTATCTTTTCAATCCATCAGCCATTTCCGTATTTTGTGAAAACTTCTTCAAAAGTAGCTTGACTGCACCAGTGGGGTCTGTAATCAGCTTAGGAGGTATGGCCGACAACAATGCCAACTTAGCCATCTGTTGTTGTTTCGATTGCTTTTTGGTGTTCATGATCTCATCTGGGAAAACGATTCCTGGAGAGTCCAAGATTTTCAATTTGTTGTCAATTTTAACTTCCCTCATTGATGTGGTTACACCGGCTTGGTTTCCAACGGGGCATGCTTTGGAGTTGTTATTGTGCCTCTTTGTGAGTGCGTTGATTATCGAAGATTTCCCAACGTTTGGGTATCCAATGACGCCCACAATGATTGATCTTTTCAAGTTCGACTTGTTTGCATAGCTTTTTAACGCCTTCATTAATGAGTCTGACGTTATAGCTCCAGTTAGCTTCTTATTGAACGATGTGGCATTGGTTGCACCGGGACTAGCCTTGATGGGCAAAGTTGGGAATGAAGAGTTCAAAAAGTTGAGCCATTGGTTCAAAGCTTCAGTGGGTATCAAGTCAACCTTGTTCAAAAGTAGAATAAGTCTCTTCCCAGGATTCTGCAAAACTGCTTGCTCTACTTTTCTTGATCGAGTGGATTCTGGATCTCTTGCATCAAGAACGTATAAAACAACATCGGAAGCTTCAACGACTGATTTGAAGATCTTGTCATATGATTTACGTGACTTGTCTAAGCCCGTTTGCTCCTCTTGATCGTCCTCCACGTCGCTCAACTCATACTCCACATCCTCGTCTGAATCAATCATATTATCCTCATCAACATCTTCATCACCATTGTACTCTTTAGCTGCTGATTGCGCGGACTCTAATAACGCAGCCAACCCATTTGCTCCGTCGTCATCTTCATCCATATCCTCGGTCTCCATGCCATCATCTTCAACCTCTTCACCCCTTGCCAATGCCTCCTCTCTCTCTCTCTGCTTTTGTAGTTTGAGTTCCTCCCTTCTCTCTTTTTCCAAACGCCTACTCTCCTCTAGCTCAGACACAATTTGATCTTTGTAGGGGAAGCTTGCAGGAATTCCGGGATCTTTTCTGTGTCTCGATTTCCAAGTAACATCCTTCTTGGCTATTTTTTTGTCCTTTCTCCTCTTTGCTGCCGCTTTCTTCTTTATACCCTCTCTCATACGAGTGGTTACCCTCTTAGAGGTTGGTTTCTTGACTCTCATCGTGGGTGTGAAGTTGGGTTGATGTTCAACCAGTTGAGGGGGGGGGGGGAGGAAAGTAAAGTGGAATTAATATAGTTGCAAGATGAGATGCCTTCAGAAAAATCAAAGAAGAAGAGGAAAAAAAAAAAAAACCAATCCAGTACACAAAAGTAATCTTGCATTATTGTAGAATAGGCTAAGAGTATACGCATTTTCATCAACCTACTAACTCAGAATGATAGTCCAACCCACGACCCGCACATAGCGAGAAGTTCCCATGTTTCACTTTCTGAAATATTCTCCTCCCTCCTCACTTTCCTCTTCATTTGGACTCCTGTGACTTACATCAAAATTATGTTTCCTATTCTTGATATTACTAGGCTTCAGATAGCCCACATGCTCATTAGTTTCCTTCTGCACTTGTTGAACAACCTTTTCCTTTGCGTGGTTGTCACTGAGATCCAAGGCTTGCCGAGTTATGTCTTTCTTTTCATCCACGTACCGAACGCGTCCAAGTGTCTTTTCCGTTTCTGATGGTCCTTTCAATACCGAGTTGACGAGACCTTTAGGTTTTTCCACTTCGAGTTGAATGTTTCTCAATGGAGCAACTTCCTGTTCTTTTACATTGTTTGTAGTAGCTACGGAGTGCACTTCACCATTGGATACAAGACTACTGCCATCTTGATAGGGAGAATTCAATCTCAATTCTTGGAGATCTTTAGATAACAACCTGTTCAATAGCTTTTGTTTCACGGTGGTCTTGAAGTTGTTTTTGACTGTGGGCACCTTCCACAAGATGTAATCAGTCCCTTTTCTGATATCTTCGGGTGTGAAAACGATTTCCACAGAGTCTCTGAATGGTACCACTGTAGGATATACGGCTCCCAATAGAAACGCAGCCAAGTAAATACAGCCAGCGCGCATGATAGTGGAGTAGCAAATAAGTTCAAATAAAAGAACAAAAGTGTGGAAATAATTGTGACTAAACTGCAGTTTGAAAACTTCAGAAATTGTAATTAAGCATATCAAACAAAGGTGTATGGCAAGAATTTTGGATATTCTGTAAACTCTTGTACAACAATATTTCATTCCATGGATGTTTTCGATTTATGAGAGGACAAATTGCTCATGCTCCTGGATAGCGACTCTCTACTGCTCCGTGCCGATGACTGGTAAAAAGACCCTCGATTTGGTACAACAAATGGACGGTTCAAAAAATCACTGATTTGGGTATTGTAGTTGTAGTTGTTGTTGTTGTTGTTGTTGTTGTTGTTGTTACCGGGCAGTGGGCTTGTAGAGTTGAAACGTGAAGGTCGTGATTCGTCAAATTCGGCATCCAATTCAATCGCCAGTCTGGTGCGCAAGACAGATGCACCAGAGCTGGGTTTCACCGATTCAAGAGACGGTGATGTCCCATTGTTTAAAGCACCAACGCCTTCCTCTAAATCAATGTTCTGGTCAATATGATCGTAGAATAGATAGTTACTGACAAGACTGTCCAAGCCAGGTACCTTCGAAGCCAACCCTACCATCCCTCTTCTTAACGACACAGGAACTCTCATTCGCCTGATTTTGCCCTTCCAGTTCCCAAAATGCCCAGGAACAAATTTGTACAACAAGAACACAAAGAAGCAGAGAACAGTGAGCGAGTAGAGCGCGGTACCTAATGGAGAGTCATGCTCATCGTCACTGTCATGATCAGACAAGTAGGACTTATCAGAAACGCCGCCGGGAACAAAATTTTTGCCCGATATTTCACTGGGGTATATTCCAATCGCCAATTTCTCTTTTGGGTCTCGTGGTTCGATTTGGGACGAAGCAAACAACAAAATTTTACCCAAGGTCCAAGATAATTCTTCTCCACCAACAGAATCAGCCGATTTGAAAGGTACGTGTTTATTGGTTACATCTTGTGATTGATTACTCTCCTGCAGCTCTGAATCTGTCTCGAACCCGATTCTTGGTAGTTCAAATCCTTCATGAAGAATATTCATCACCCAGCTCGCTTTAAAGCATGCATCTTTCAAAAACTTGTCAGGATCAAGATTTGAATAGTCCCCTGTTTCGGCATTCTTCAATATAGTGTCCCAATCGTTTTCGCAGAATTCCTTGACCTTTATATTGAATGCCTTGTAGTCGTACTCGCCACCACTGTGGAAAATATCATTTGCAGTATACCAGTACTCTGAAATCCCCACAAACTTGTCCTTTTCAAAGTCCATCTTGGGACCATGAATCCCATTGAATAAACAAGGTTCGTCCTCGCATGGAATAGATTTCATCAACAAGGGATAGATTGATTTAATACACGTTTCATAATTTCCCGCTCCATTGATCTTGTACAGCTTTCCATCCATAGCATAGTCCATTGCTGCGCCTTTTGGCAAACAAGGATCATTGATATTGTTGTTTGATATCTCATTGACTAATGACAAGTTTATCATTTGCTCTAGGAACCTTCTGCGTGCTTCGTTAGCGCCAAAGCCTAACCAGGTCTCTACAAAAACATTCCATTTCTGATTCTCACCGTTGACATTCCGTAAGATTACTTTGGAAAGATCGTTGTTGTGTTTCTCAATCTGCTCGACAGAAGACGGAACAAACGCAATCTGAGTTGAAGCTCCACCCATATCCATAAACCCAATAGACTCATGCCTATCAAGCCTGGAGTCATAATTGTTAAACTGGCCCATCAAGTAATTCAATCCCAACCAACCGTAGATTCCTTCTGTAGATCCGTCTATGGTTTGGACGAAGGCTTCACAATCGGGCAAATAAAACTTTGTATTTTTCCTTATACTCGAACACGTTTCGGCTAAAATGCCATCTCTAGTTTTTTTAGGAACCAATCTCATCCCCGCTGTACTCAAAACGAATACCGGCGTTTCGTTGTGTTTTTCACTAGGAATTATGGTTTCTGCAAATTTCAACAATTCCGAATAATGCTTCGACCATACCTGCTTAAGCTGGCTACGAGACTTGAACGTGGATATCCCAGGAGTTATCTTTTTCGTCCAGTCCTTATGTATTGATATTTTTGGTGGTGATTGTAGAACGCCTGGATCATCAGACCTCGCTAGCGATTTTGGATTCACCCAATTATATATTTGTATTCTAGATCCTGAGGACCCCGAGTCAATAACAATACCATAACTCTGGTCCCCGGCGTTATTCAGCATCCTAGATTCAAATGGTCTGGCTTGTTGTGTCTTCTTACCACAGCGTGCTTTTAGCCTTTGTCTGGAATGTCCGCTATACTAAAATTTCACCAGGCGCGAAATCCTTGACAAATTGCAAATTGTAGAGAGACGACTCAGTACCAGCTATATTTGGCAAACTACTTTATTCGTTGGGTATATCTAGCGTGCCTCTGTACGTTGCAGCAGCCACATACAATGATAGTCCTCCCAAATACACCACCGACACCTATTCATCTACAAGACCCAAGCACCGCATTACCGCAAAGTATTCTAACCTTACGGTCATCTTTGCAGGTACCAAGTCTATCAAACTACAATGAATCAATTAGATATGTGGTGAATCTCGAAAAATATCTCGATGCGATTTTTGAACTACTGGAGTCAACAGATCCTACAACTTTATTCATCAGTTCCAATATCCCGTGGTCAAATATCAACAAGGGAGACATCAAGCTAAAACTATTCAAGGTAAAGTTGGGCCAAGCCGCCATTAACAAATGGAGTTTGTACAATGAGCTTTCTATGACATTGATATCTATATCCTTTATATACCACAGGGTGGCGTCGGAGTTGTCCAATGACACCATCGATTTGAGTCTAGAGCCTCCAGTCAAGCCAGAGGATTACAACGAGAATTGGAAGCAAGTGATGAGTTTATACAAGAAGGCAATGTCAATGATGTTGTTTATTGAGAAGTTGGAACAGAATGCAGCACAATCAGAGGAGGATGTTCTACACATAAACAGAACGCTATTTCCCTTCATTGCGAAAGTGACCGACATATCTATACAAATGTCAATTTTATCCAAATTCCTATGGTTTAGTAGATACACTTTTGAAAAGAACGAAGAAGTTGGATCTCGAAATAGCATGACCTTGGCCAAAGTTGCAATCTATTGCATGAATGAGCTCGATGTGCTTCAAGTACAGCTCAGTGATCTCAATAATTCTGTGGAGAATAGCATAACGCATGGTTCTGGTGTGATAAATCTTGATTATACTGACTGGGATGCATATTTGAGAGTCGTGAAGAGGTATACCAGCGCTTATGCTGGACTCTATCTATCAATGCAGAAATACAATGACAGCAAGTACGGTGATGCCCTCGGACTACTCCAGTTCAGTTTATTATCGCTACAGAGCAAGAAGGATTTTGCAACATCGTCGTTTTTAAACAAAAGAATCACTTTGAAACGTTTACGGGAAAAAGTATCACGTCGAAAGCAGGAAAACTTACTTTCGAACTTGACCTCGGTTTCCACTTTGGATATTAATAAATCGGCATTCAATGGCAAGGCGGGAATAATCTTGAATGATTTATCGTATCTATTCGATCAACTTATAAAATTGAATTTGAAAATTTCTCTGGAAAATAACACTTTGCATTTTAATGAGGTTGCACATTGGTCCGCAATCAACAATGATTCAAAGTGGCCCATCGGCTGCAAGATACCGGTATCTCTGGTCGAAGTGTACACTCCGGGAAACTCGAAAGATAGTATTGATCGAGATTATTCCAGCCGTGGGGAGTATTATTGAATTCAAAGCGCAAGTACTTGAATTGCATATAGGACTCAATATAAACACCTAAAATAAGGTATGAACGAACTAAATATAAAACATGGTATTCCTGATTCCAGCGGCAACATTATCGCCCAATCTTTTCTTGAACTCAGCGAGAAGCGCGGTGCCTGTAGCTCCCTCTTTCATCGCAGAGCCAACATAGCATCTTCCACGAGTGCACAAAAGGTCTGCATAATAAGCAGCAGGAACCACCTTCACACTCTTTGTGGCTCTTCCAAAAGTATGACAAAGATTGTATGTGATTTGTTGTATCTTGTCGGAAGTGTACTTGTTCTCATCGTGTAAAACGTAATAATGTGCTGGTATACCTGTACCTTGCAACGCCTGCTGAGATTGAATATAGAAATCAAAAAATGCAATAGACGTGATATCACGATCAACGATGGTACCAGGGATAACATTCTCATTAGAGGTGACAGCCACCTTCCCTTTAGTCACGGCATCTATAGCATTCTGTTCAAGGGGAATGAACCTGGTATGGTGTCTTTTCACGACAATCATGAAAGTGATTTTTGGATTGTAATTTGGCATGCTATGCAGCTTACCGTATTCCACAAAAGCAGCCTTGATCTTGGGTAATTCCTCTTTCAACACAGTGTAATACTGTCCTTCAGAAACGCCGTCACGGTAAAACAAGACTTTTGAAGGCAATCCCTTCACTTTCTTGTGAAAATTCTCCAACCTCTCATACACCATGGATTTAACATCGGTAATGATTTCCCGGCCGCCAGCTTGAGCTCGAATGGAACCAGGAAATTTATTGAAAATGCCATCCTCACTGCCAACAACTGCAGCAACGGAGACTGCGTCCTCGTTTTGTTGGCCAGTGGGGTGCGTCACGTCTGCTCCAAGTATAAACACGGGAACATTTTTGTTATCAAACAAGCCGGTGCTGCTGCCACTCGATAATCTATGGTTGGAACCACCCAATTTTAAATTAATCTTCATGGCCAATTGAGCAAACAAAGACATGTCAAACTTGTCAAACTTCTTTTTGGTGAATGTATCCAAAACTACACAACTATTGTTTATTCCAACCTTCAAGTCACCGGCACATTTCACGCAACGGTAGTATTTTGTATCCTTTGATGGCAAAATTGCAATTATGTAGTCACACTTGTCTTTCAATTTGGCAGTTTGGAATATACCTGCAATCAGTTTTTCAAGCAGACCTTCATCAGTCATGCTTGACGAGTTCAAGTCAACCGAGTATTTCATAAACTTGTCACCGGCATTCTTGATTCCCAATCTGTTCAATTCTCCAAAGAGTAATGAGCAGGCTTGGGCTAGGTCATCCTTTTTTCTTGAAAGATACTGATTTTTCAAGACGACAACACCAAACTTGTAAAGAGGTTTCCCCTTAGGAGCTTCAACAAACTGAGCACTCTCAAGATTCCAGTTCCCTTTGCTTTTTTCAGTTTTCCCGTTAAATGCCTCCTCTTTGTAAACAATCTTCTTGTTTTTGTACTCAATAACAGGTGCAGACAACACTCTTGATGTAACTTTTGTAAACTGTGAATCAACCTTACCAAAGTCAACGTCACCAAATGTAGACGATTTATGTTGATTAATTAATTTTGCCTTGTCCATTGGTCGCATCGCAGTGAGCCTGATTATTGTTCTTGTGTCCCATACATCTCCTTTAAATTGCTGGTGTGGCACAATGAAAGCAACCTCCATTGGCACATAAGCAGTTGGTCCAATCTTAAGTAAAGGTAAGTTGGGGTACTTCAATTTGATTCCCCATTTGGCTTCAAAGTAAGTGGCAACAGACACTACTTTTCCCTCGGATTCTTCAAATGTATGAGTATTTGCATTCTCCTTGAAATACAACCCTTGAACCGCTTTGCCTGACATTCTCTTGAGATAATCCCGGTAAATCTTAACACCCTTGAGGAAAGGTTGCACCTTTTTGAAATCTGATTCAGTTGGCGTTTGAGATATTCCAAGATAATCCTTGGTCAAATCAATGACGTTCATTGGCTGTCCGTCAGGCTTGAATGCCTTGTAGAATATCGCGGGAGTGGGATTTAAGTTGACTCGGATACTATTGAAGGAGGGTCTAACGGAAAGAAAAGTCCCCAATGCGATAAACAAACCCTGTTGAAAATCTTCAATTGGAGTGTTCTTGTCAAAAAAGAAAAACTTGTTTGAACCCAAGCCAACAACGCTTTTGTTTTCCAAAACTTTTGACCCAATCACTGAAATTAAAGCATTAGTGTACTCTGTAACCTCTTGAAAGTCTTTTGTGTACTTTTTAATTGTCGAGTACTTGATCAAGTCATCAAACTTTAATTCTTTGACAAACTGCACTTTAATGGAAGCCGATTTTCCAGGGATTGGATAGACAGCATCATCCTCTATCGGTAATGGGATCTTGGCATAAAGCGTATGGAAGTCACGGTAGTAAATCTGAGAGCGTTTGCTCTTGAAAGGCTCTATGGTGAACAAGTAATTATTGACAGCATCTCTAACCTTTAGAGTTGGACGTTTGCCTTTAAACTCCTTTTCTTTTGCGTCTCCTTTCTCTGGGTCTTCTTGATCCTCGACAAAGTAAGTGTACAACTTCAATCCCGCAACTTGGTACTTGAAATAATTTGTACCAACTTCGGTTTTAACACCGACGCTTCCGTAATCGGGCCTCAATTGAATCTTGTACGGTTCGTCCTCAATTTCAGAAGCGTATTTCAGTTTGTATTTTTGCAAAGCCAGTAATGCATCTTCATTTCTTGCTTTCTTTTCAAACTCAACATGCACATCGCCAATTTTGTATACACTGTGACCAGCAGCTCTGCCTCTACCTCCTCTTGAGTTGAATCCACCTCTTTGTGATGATCCACCCCTTCCACTACCACCTCTACCACCTCTCCCACCGCGGCCTCTGCCTTTGGATCCACTCATTTATTTGTAAAGCTGATGTGGGGTTGGTGAAAATACGTGTCTAGATATACCCCAGAGTGAGTAAAAGTATCAGCAGAATTGGTTTTGGAAAACAATTGAACGATCTGTAGACCAAGATAGAAAGAAACAGCTGTCCATAATGTTGGCACTTGTGGTAAAAAAAAAAATAATAATAACTGGGTGTGTGTTCAATTCTTGGGCTAAATCAATAAAGGGAGAACAAAGTGTGAAAGTCCTGTATCGTGGTAAACGTTTCAGAGTTTAAAAAAAAGTTGTCACACAAAATACAGTAAGCACACACCGACTTGCCTTAGCACTTGCCAAGATATTTGTACGTTTGGCATACGCCCCATAGAGTTGTCGATGTATCACAGGACTACAAGGTTCTGGCTGAATCAGTACTCAGTGAATAACACTTCGATTTGGTATCGTCAATTGTTTCAGTTGTTTTCTGTGGCCACCTAAAATTCCTCATAGAGTACAATCTCTACGTCTAAGATGCAATTGCACAAGAAGCGCTCACATTAGTGGAAGGATAAGACTCTATTTGTTGTATATTACAACTATTTTTTATCGGTTGATAATTAGTACTTTGTGTTACAGTCCGTGTCTTTTGTGTGTGTTTGTGTGTATTTAAAGACCTGTTTGTGTGCTCTTGCTAATTGCATCTCCGTGTCGGCTTGATACCTTGACTATGATTGGCTCCTTTCAAGTTTGTTGCAAGTCTTCGGTTTGAATTGTGGTTAATCCTATGTTGGTATAAATAGCTGCGAATATCTTAGTATCCTTTTATAGTTTCGGTTTTTAAAAGAATCAATTAAGTTTCTACGTAAGTCTTGCCTATTCAAGTTCTAGTTATTCCGCTTCTGTTACAACATTACCTTGAAAAATTCCCCTACTACAAACCACGTTATAAAACACTATTATATAAAAATCAACACCGATTTACATAAAATACCTCGTATGTAAGGTCAATCTCTGCTTGCCACATTAGAGTCTCTTTCATCAATCCCACAGTTGTGAACAACTCAATCGTAACCAAATAGTGACAACCAGCTCGGGGTGGACCAAATTCCAGAATAATCACCCACCTCAATACACTTGCAATCGATGAGCCATCTGGTTACAACTGCAAACTCGTAAACACTCAACAAACTGTGAACTTTTTCATACAAAGTAGCAGCTTGGATACCCGGTCGGTAATGAATAATGTATAATAATGAAACGATAATATGAGTCCACAATTTCCCATCAATCTGACCATTGGTATCTACCCATATATATGAGCATGGCTTCCCCACTGGCACGCGCACTTTCGAAACAGCTTGGTTGATCGGGACATTGTTTGGTCCTTTGAAAACCACCAAGTCGCAATTCAAGGCATCCTTGTCCATTGACCTGGACTCATACCCTTCGAATACATACTCGCCATCAATATGACCCAAAGAAGCCCCATTCGAAGACAACAAATATAATAACTCTGCAACACTTCCGTCCTCTATTCCCTGTGACAAAAGCATCCCTTTTTGAGATTCCACCACATGTTTCACATTCTCCAAAAACAAACCGGCCTCTTTGAAAAACGGTACCGAAAGTTTAGATGTGAGCCCAGCGTACACCTTTTCTGTTAATTTGTACTGATTTGTTTCTTCGTCAACGCGGACAATTTCTTTTTCATTTTCCATCTCTGTGAATGCTGTTTCAATATCTGCTGAATTGTAGGAAGACAAGATTTCTTTTATCTGTCTGGAGTTTTTCATGTGCGGGTATCTGTAAATGGACTTTATGGCAGTCTTAACTTGGTCTAAGGGGCTAGATGGCAATTCAAGTGGAACTCTATAGAAAAATGGCACACTCGAAAGCGCTTCCTCCTTTTGTTTCATCGAATCTGCATCTATCAAATCAAATAAATCAGCCTGAACCTCGAATGTATGCTTCTTGCTATAGTTGGCCAAGTTTTCTTCCGTTGTGGAGTACAATGGAAACTTGTCGTGGATTTCGATTTTAGATGTATCGAAACTGGCCCATAGATCAAGATAAAAAGCAATGTCGATATTCTCTAAATCCTCAACCAAGATATATTGCTCATCAATCCCTTTCATAACCACACGCTCAAACTCCTCCACCCCTTTGTTCACCGCATCTAGACCACCAACCTGCTTCCTGGTATGTACCCATATACGCTTCAAGGATCTGGTGTCAGTATCTTTAAATAAAGATGCAACTAGATCATAATCGATGAAGGATTTGTTGAACGCTTTGCAAATACAAATTGCGCGAAATAAAGTGGTGAAGTCGCTGATTTCGAATTGAGTCTTGATTTTATGATTTTTACGCTGACCCTTATACTCCTTTCGCTTTGTCCGCTTGACTTTGGTTCCCTTAGTTCCCAGTTTGACTTTGGATTTCGAGGTGTCGAGTTCAAATTCGCCCAATTGGTCTTCAAATTTTCCAGAAAATTTCGAGACGGACCCCGATGTTGTTCCAAAGTCCAAAACGTTGTCATAGCCTGATTTGGATTTAGTTACTGCTCGAGTACGGCTCTTGTGAAGTGTATCTTTACTATTCAACGACTTCAATCTCGTGGTATTTCTCTTCAAAGCTTCTCTGGGATTGAGGAGTGTATAATCGGTCTCTACAAGGCGGCGGCGCATCTGCATCTTCTCAGATACGTTCGAAATGGGCTCCTTGCTCTTTGACTTGGTCTTTTCGATGAACTCATCCAGTGGCCGATGCTTTGGATCATTCAAGATTATTAACCTACGATTGATCTCCCGTCCACTTTGCATCATAGGGATAACTTGCACTTCAATCAAACCGGTCCGAGTAAGTTTGCTCAAATCGCGGGCTATTGTTTTGATATCAGTTGGTTTTTCCAGCTGAATTCTTTGGTCAAGCATTCGACCAAGTTTAGCACTAGTGAATGTTGCTCCACCCAATTCCATAATCAATTGAATGAACTGCTCACGTCTGAAAGCACCCTTGATGTCCGCTTCGTCAATCTTGGACTTTTCCGCCTCTTTCTTAAAACGAGTATTCTTCCGCCTGTGAGAAATCTGAGGAGTGAAGACACGATTAAATGTTTCCGTATTAGATGGCGTGTCTGTATTAGTAGTGTCACGTGCCTGTTCGGTTAATAGCTCAGTGATACTGTCACCCACTTCCGAGGTTTTTTCAGTCTTGACCTTCACAGAAGCTGTCTCTACCTCTGCCACATCATCATCATCATCATCATCATTGTGCTTACCGTCATCTGGAGCATAACTCAGATCCTCGACTTCATCCATTGACGCGTCCTCATCAGCATAAGTATCGACGGATACAGACTTGCCTAACCCACTTAATGCTCTCTGGCGTAATCGTCGCCTCTTGGGAATAGAGCTATCGAGTTCATTAATTTGTTCATTGTTTCTCTTCTTTATGGCAGTGCCTTGCAGTGTAGCAACGCTAGGGTAGTCGGGTCCCGGTACTGGTACGTTGCCTCGCAGGTTATTCGATTTGCTAGATTGATTTAAAGAATCTGGCAAGACTAATAATGGTCCGTTTGACATTTTTTCAATCTTGACGTAAAACTGCTTTTCCAAATTGACGAGAGATTTTCCTAGTACCTTCCTCTCTGGTCGTTTCTTCTTATGGGATTTTATCACTTCGGCTTTGAAATTATCAACAGAATAATACCGATAAAACTTTAACCGCCCATCGGACTCGCTTTGTTTTACTATAGCAGTGCTTCTGTGCTCGGGTGGGTAGGGTAAAAGTGCCTCTAATCCGCCATCCTTGTATAAGAAGTCGGTATTGTTTTCAAGAAGCCTTGTGATTTGACGATGTTTTATGTCACCCAGTATTGATGTTACAATCTCCTTCGCGGTTATTCCTTGTGTGCCCGAGCTTTTAACAGCTTCGTATACTTGAGCAGTGAGCGGGAAAATATCATTAAAGCTTGCAGTCAAATAGTGTTCGTCATCCTCGGTGACGGCGTCTCCATCAAAAATGTTCTCATAATGTTGTGCTGTCTTTGTGCTAAGATTCTCCCATGATTCGTATCCGCCTTCTACAATCAGGCTCGGTAAGTCTTTTACAAGTCTCAAAGCATAAAGCTTTCTGGCAGGATGAGCCTGGTCTTGTACATCGATTCTCTCGATAAAGCCATTGTCACACAAGTTTTCAATAACTGATCCAAATAACCGCGCAGCTTGTGAGTGTCTATTCATTTTCAACTCCACTTTCATGTCTCTAAACGTTCTTATATTGTTTTGAGCTTGCTTCAACGAATTCATGATAAATTTCCGCATCTTGACCGGTGTATGGTCGAATCCGTCCTCCTCTTCATCGCCATTTTTAGACTTGGACGCATCGCCAAACTTGTAATGCACTGCCCACGTACTATGAATCCGTTTTGCTTCATAAAATCTGTGCTCTTTGACAATTAGCCCCGCTTCTTCTAGTTTATTCAATCGTCCCGTCATCGATCGCTTGTCTTGTCCCGTTGCTTCTGACAAGTCACTCGCCCACGTTCCCTTCGCACCGTGTCTGGCAATCTCTTGCAACAATTGATACGGAAATGCTCCAAGCGTGAGGATAAACTTTTTGTTATTCGACACTCCAGTTAGGTAATAACACTGGGTCTCATCTGTTGGGAGAACTCGTAATTTCGCGGGTTGTTCTTGTTTAGCAATGAATGATTGGTAATTGTATTCAATAGCAATTGGTTCTTTATCGTAGGTTACATAAAACTTAACCTCCTCATTTCCCTGCTCATCTCTGTAGTCAAAGAAGAGCCACTTCCAAACTGTGTCTTTTTGAAAATCATCCAACTCCTTGTCTTGCTTAAACTCCTCCTGAATCACCTGCCAAAGCTCGGACAAGAGAAGGCCACGGAAACCTGAAAACGCTAGCTTCTCTGCAGTAAATGCTACCGTTTCGTATGGTGTGTAAGGAAACAGCATTGCAAATGGATTCGTCTCTGGTGATGCATGCACTGTATGGATGGATGGATGGTTTGATGACTATGTATGTAATCTCTGTTGTTTATAATTCCCGATTACGTAATCTCTGACATAAACTCTTCTATCGCAAGTTTTTTTTCTTTTTAAAGTTTTATTTTATTTTCTTACTTCTTCTCTTTAGCGCTTAAAATAAAATTTCTTTTTTGCATTTGGTTGCATTCAGTCACAGTAAGCTCCTTTTTTTGCAACACTTCATTGACATCACCCATTACATACCCCAATATGACTGAATTTGAGGACGAGCCTATTACGTTGTCTGCACACGCTTTGGCGGCGTTGCAGGAGTTTCAAGCTGAGGAGAAACAACGTCTTGAGAAATTTGAATCTTTATACAAAGCCTCGGAAAATAAATTTGATGAGCAACAAGCAAAACCCGTGGAGGTAAAGATCGACGATTTCAAAGAAGATTGGCAGTTGTCACAGTTCTGGTATGCCGATAACACAGCAAGAACATTGGGTAAAGCGTTATTAGAAGGAGCTGACGAGGATACTGTTATTGTTGTGGCATCTGCTCCGTCGGTGTTTGCCGCAATCAAGCAATTTCCTGAGGATGAGATACCAACAAAGCATATCTACTTATTGGAATACGACACACGGTTCAAAGTCTTGGCTGGAAGTGAGCACTTTAGTCTGTACGACTACAATGAGCCGGATGCGATTCCTGATCACTTGAGGCACAAATGTCATCGTCTACTCATAGATCCGCCATTCTTGGAAGCGGAGTGTCAAACTAAAAGTGCACAAGCAGCAAAGAACTTGCTAGTGAGGGAGGACGAAAGGTTCGAGAAAACCAAGTCCGGAGACACCAAGTACAAGTTGATTTCATCTACAGGGGAAAGGATGCATGATGTCGTCACTAACCACTATCCCGGAACCAAAATCACAAACTTTTATCCAGAACATAAGAATGGATTAAGCAACGAGTTCAGGTGTTATGCCACTTTCGAATGTTCGTACTGGAAATTCACCCACGAGGACAACTAGAGTAAACTAGAGACATGTGAAATATTGTAAAACATTATCAATCATTAAAGATTACTTACCCTGTAGAAGTGTTCCTTTTCTTTTTTTTATATCTATTCAAAACACTTACAATTTTTGCATAGCAGCAATATCAGTAGATTGAACGTGATCTTCGTCTTCTTCAACAGCAGCTTGCAAGTCATCTAATGAAACCAATGCGTCTTCAACGACCAAGTTGATTTGCAATTTCTTGATACCGAAACCAACTGGAATCCACTGGTGAGCACCCCAAGTCAAACCTTCGATTTCAATCTTCTTAACGTTTTCCAACAATTCGTCCAAGTTGGTTTCGTCGTCCCATGGCTTAACATCCAAAGTGACAATGGACTTGGCAGCTGGTTTTGGACCCTTAGCAGCCTTCTTAGCAGCGTATTCAGCTAATCTTTGTTGCTTCAATTTTTCAGCTTCTTCATCAACTTCATCATCATCAGATCCGAACAAGTCAACGTCATCGTCGTCTTCTTCAGCAGCGGCACCAGCACCAGCACCAGAAGAAGTAGCAGCTGACCCTTTACCAGCTGGCAAGGTTTCGAATTCTTCAGTGAATGAAGCAATGTGGTTGAACCATCTGGTGAAGTTTGGGTATTCTTTTTGGAATGCCTTGTATGCGGATACATCAGCTTGGGTAGCTTCAGCACTATAGGAATGAGTTAGTATAGCCGTTTCAAAAATAGCTTCCAAAAGCCTCCTTGTATAACATTGATTCCGTCCCCTTGAAGCGTTGCAGATTGATTGTCAGATAAAAGATTTAAATCTTCTTTGTCACTCATGCGGTGGGTCTTGAGGCCACCTCATAAACACGGACCAAAGATTATGATCATCATAGTAATCAGTAACAAGTCACAATTAGGGAGCGATAAGTTCAATCAATTGATTGAGTTACCATAGACATAAGCTGAATGCTTGAAAGATGTCAAAAGAAAACAAAAAATTAAAGAGTACTAATTGGATGGGAATCAATCAAGGGGCTCTTTAAATAGCAATTGAAACATACCCGTTGTCAACGTAAGACTTGTCCTTCAAGAAATCATTCAACGATTTGATGGTTTCAACAGATTTGAAATCAGTGTAAGACATTGTGACGTGTTATGTATGATGTGAACTGGCAATTGGAGTTGTAATTGACTTGGAATTGAACTGGCAAAAGTGAAGAGTTTTTTTTGTTTTTTTTGTTTTTTTCTTTGAGAAAGAAAATTTTCGAGAGTTGTTCTTTTGGCATTAGACATTTGCCGTTGATGATGACAAGAAAAATTTTTTTTTTTTTTTTCGTTCTCATCTCTGAAATGGCTCTTCACGTGCTACCACGTTGTTCTCTGATTATTACTATTATTATTATATGCAGTACAATCTATATAACATGAATTCTTTTAGTTACCGCTACAATGGCAAGTAGTCTACCTCCTTACCCAACCAGTCCACCAAGTACTCCTCCTGCGAAATACCCGTATCCCACACATTCAAAACAATTTCCTTCAATGACGCAGTTGTCCCCATTTTCGTGTTCTCATAAAGATTATCCATAAACTTGATCAAATAGGACCGCTCCCATTCGTTTTTGCATTCGCAACCAACTGCATAGACTGGCCAGACCATCTGGGTAACCAATGAGGATTTCGGGTCCATCAGGTCGTATGTGTCAATGAACTCGCTGGTTAATTTTTGATTGGTTGTTTGATAGTTGTCTGGTTCAACCACCCGGTTTAATGTGATCCAAACTGCCAAAGACCAACACAATGCACACTTTAGCCTGTTCGTGTACGGTTCGTTCCTGTCCTTATCGTAGTCCAAAACGTAATCGCGGTAGCTCATTAGCGAGTAACGGATCCGGGTGTATGCAACATTTTTATCCTCACCTGTCAACAAATTGTTATATTTTTTATTTCGCAACTGACACACTTCAGCCATTGCCACAAATATTTCCCCAGGGCAACCCATCATTTTCGACGTGGAAACGTCGTCTGTTGCTTTCGAGTACCATTGTGGAAGGCAAAAGGGAAGACGGCAATCTGGTGAAACAATAGCAGAGACAGTATCGTACCAACTTAACACCACAGCCAACGACCTTCTTTTCTCACTTGTCATCAACACTTGATTATAAAATACTGGATCTTTGCATATGGTGGTAAAGATTTTGAAAAACTCTCTCGCAATTGAGCTTTTACCCTTTTCAACAACAGCGAATAGCAAATGGACATTTATAAGAACCAAAATGACAAAATGGCTTACCCGTTTCTTACTCTGGTCGGTGAATACATCGTTTGCATGTGGCTCGTTATTCATTTTGGCTGAGTTTTCACGGATATAGTGAATCAAGTGGTCCATGGTGTTATTTATATGAGCAAGACCCTTCTGATACAAATCGTTCCCGCCAGCTCGACTTTCGTATAAATGAATACACGCTAGCGATATGAAGCAGCTCCTGGCAATGTCAAAATCACAATACTGCAAAGCTAAATCGGGCCAAGGTGACTTGGGATGTCCGTCCAATAACGGCAACAACTTTTTGAAAAAATGTTTCAACATCATATTCTCTTCTTGATAGCTCATGGCAAATAACGTCGTTGTATCTGGAGGTGCAGCCAAGGCACTGTTAGGTGCATTATTGCTCGAGTCGGAATTCTTTAACAATAGTTTATGATTGGCATCGAATATTTGAGACTTGTCCATGAAATCAATGATTTGGAAATCAAAGTTGTGGCGCTCACTCATTGTTGGCGAGATTTGGTCATCCAGAGAAGCTCCATTTGTAGACGGTTCGTTTATTGATGAAAAAATCGATTGAAGATCTTCAAACAAGGCGTTACTGAATTGGTTCAAGTTGGCACTTGATGATACAGCTTGTAATAGTGGGGTGGGGGTCTGAAAAGTCGGCTCCTCGTTGAGTGTTTTTGGGAATTCAATACCAGGAGAGCGACCTGAGTGATTTGATGAATGTGTGGCGAGCTCATTAGGATACTGCGAGGAATATTCCTTTGATGGCTGTTCTGGTATCTCATTTACAGGTTGCTCCGTAACCCTGCCGTGTTGAAAACCCGTTGCAGCTTTCTCAGACTCCTCCTCTTTCCCCAACGGAGTTAGTGGCTTCCTCTTCTTTCCGCCGCCTTGTTGAAAGAAGTCAAATGAGAGCCTAATACCATATCCCTCACACTTCCTTCCTGTGTTTTTGCAATTGTTGCACTCTGGTTTTGTTTCGTCACATTTTCTGTGCCTGTTTGAATGCGTGGGGTTAGTAAACGCGGAAATTGCCGTTAGATCTCACCTTAGCCGTACGTACCGTCTCTTACATGTCCAGCAACCAGTTCTCACTCTGGTTATTTTCCCCATTTTGTACTGCTAGCACAATTTTTTTAAAAAACAAAAAACAAAAAAATGGTTAATTTGTGTTTGTACAAAAAGTCTAATTGGGTGAATGTATCGTCGCATGGACCCGAGGTCTGGTTATTAGTAATTATTGAGATAAGAGAGAAAATAGACTCTGTGCATTTTAATTATTTTGATTGATTAAAAAACGCGACACCCAGAGCTTTTGCGACATTATCAAAATTTGACAAGATCGCGATTCAATTTTTATTATTTTACATCAGATAGGATGTGGTGTCAGAACTGGCAAAGAAAGGGCCAATGAAATACATTTTCACACTTGCGGCTCTACTATTTTACTCAGTCAATGCACTAGAGTATACCCCATTTGATAAATCTCGATTGAGTGAGGATTCAATTTTTGAGCAATTTGATTACCCCTCCCTCTCGGAGTCACCATGGAAAGTATCAAGGGCCAAAAAATATGACGAGGGAAGAGACGAAATAGTCCCATATAAGGGTCAATGGTCAATCGAGCAACCGCATTTGAACCCTGGCTTTGAGAACGATTCTGGGTTGGTGATGAAATCCAGGGCATCACACTATTCAATAGCATACAAACTTCCACACGTCATCAACAACACAAACAAGGATTTGGTGATCCAGTATGAAGTCAAGTTGCAAAAAGGGTTGGAATGCGGTGGAGCTTATATCAAACTTCTTGATGATTCAAAGACTTATCACTTTTTCAATTCAGAAACACCGTATCAGCTAATGTTTGGACCTGACAATTGTGGAAGTGAGAACAAAATTTACCTCATCATGAGAAAGGAACTACCCAATGGTGAGATTGAAGAGAAACAGTTGCGTTACCCACCTTTGGCTAGGCTCAGTGACATGACTAATTTGTACACATTAATCATCAGACCCAATAATGAACTTGAAATCAGAATCAATGGCAAAGTGGTGGAACTGGGAAATCTCATCACCGATGTAGAGTTGTTTTCTCCAACAATGAATCCACCAAAGATAATAGAGGATCCAAATGACAAAAAGCCCGATGATTGGGATGATCACAAGTATATTCCCGATCCAGAAGCTGAACCACCAGAGGATTATGAACGATTGCATGCACATCCAATGATTCCTGATCCTAATGCAGTCAAACCAGAGGACTGGGACGAGTCAGCACCACGTTACATACCTGACTCTAATGCAGTGAAACCTTTAGACGCGTCCGATGACTGGCTGCCACCGATGATTGTCAATCCTAAATGTGAATTAGGTTGTGGACCTTGGACACCTCCTATGGTTGGGAACGGAGACTACATAGGTCCATGGTTTGCGCCAGAGATTGAAAACCCTAATTATAAAGGTATTTGGCAGCCACGCAAGATTGAAAATCCCGACTACTACGAATTGGAGGCGCCATATCAAATGGATAAACCTGTTGGTGGGCTTGGATTCGAATTGTGGAACATGGATGGTGAGGTGCTTTTTGACAATATCTACGTTGGGAATTCTGTTGCTGAAGCTGAATTAATCGGTAACGAAACGTTCATTGTGAAGCAGAAATTGGAGTACGCCAACAAGGTTCGAAATCCAGAAAGAGCTCCCAATGAACCTGTTGCGCCACCACCAAATTTCGATGATATTTTGAGAGATGATTCTGTATCCGCTTTGAGTCAATTTGCCAGTGTCATTAAATTGTTCACAAGGATGCAGTACCTGAATTTTTCAGACTTCCTTCTTGAGCTTTTACTTGATCCTGTACCGACGGTAGTGCATCATCCAATTCGAACCGTGATTTATATATTTCTTCTCCTATTTGTCATGCTGGTTGTTGGTGGCATTGCTAGTGTTGTGTTATTCGTCATCAATAATCGAGGAACATCTAGGCAAGTGGAGGAACATCGCCATGGCCATGGATCCAATGATGGAGATGTTATTGAGGTGGTTGATACTAGCTCCGTGGAAAGAGGTGTCGAAGATGGTAACCAAACTTTAAGACATCGCTAATGAATACAACTGTGTAACCTATTGGAAGATTGTAATTTTTTTACTGTAAATATATGTATTGTTTTTTCTCTTTTTTGCAACAAGTTGTCTCCAAAAATTTTTTAAATAGGACAAGCTTGATACAAGTTTGGAAAAATAGGTAAAAAAATACACCCGCAATGTGAAGTAACAATATCTGGTTGCATGAGATCAGGATTACTCACAAATATGAGGCTCCTGTGGCTTCTTTTCAGAGGTGTAATACTCTTATTATGTAAATCCAGTACGAAGTCGTGTTAAGTCTCAAATTCAAACACTGCCCCCCACCCCCGCAGAAGTTATTTTCTTTTGTTTTTGTTTGCGGTCCTTGACTTCCATTGCATAGATTCCATTGCTAGAATATAGAATACTTGAGTACCTTGAGACCATTGCGGGCATAAGCTTCCTATCAACCTGAAAAATGGCGGACGAAAGTACACCACTAATTACACCCGAGGACCCACATCTCAAGTCCCAGCACAGCCTACTTGAACGCATTCCCGCTAAGAAGTTTACCTATTTCATCATCCCAACTATCTTCATCTGTTTCTTCATATTTAGATTCTACCAGTTTGAAGCCAAAGTTGCTTCAACATCCTTGCTTGGCCCTTCATTGACGTTAAGATTATACACGAACAACATTAGATACGATAACGTCAACTACCGAGACCCGCACGAAAAGTTATGGACTAAGCGCCGTGTTCAAAGCATTAATTCTATGGAGTTTAATACCGCCATTGGACATGCTAATGTCATTTGTTTACAAGAGGTGCTTGTTAATCAGTTGCATGATATCTTGAACGGGTTAAATGCTAACGATGATGACCAGTGGGCTTATTATGGCGTTGGCCGCACAGATGGGTTAGAAGCTGGCGAGTTTGCCCCAATTCTATTCAAACACAAGGACTTTCTTGTTTTGGAAAACACTACGTTTTGGTTGAGCCCCACACCTGATAGACCCAGTAAAGGGTGGGATGCAGCTTTAGAAAGGATTGTAACTATGGTGACTTTTCAAAGCAAATTGAATCCATTGATCAAATTCAACGTGTTCAACACTCACTATGACCATCGTGGGCATATCGCTAGACGCAGGTCGTCGCAATTGATTGTGGACAAAATGAAGAATTACAATGCGTATCCCTCGTTTCTCTGTGGTGATTTCAACACAGAGCCAAGAGACGAACCTTATGGAATATTGACTGCTGCTGGGTTCAAAGATAGTAGAATTTTGATCGATAAGCGATTTTCTTATGGACATGAAACTACATTTACCGGATTCGACATCACTAATGAGCCATATTCAATCATTGATTATATTTGGTCGCCTTACTTCACCAAGCAACATCCTATTAGTAATTCACCCTATGGAGATGAAACTGCAAAAGAAGAATTGTCAATGAACAACTATTACAATTTGAATCATCACGAGTATTATTCGATCGAGTTGAAACAATTTGGAATCTTGAGCAACTACTTGAAGGGGTTCCATTTTTCGGATCACCGTCCAGTGGTTGCTACGTATGAGATTGAAAGAACGAGATTGTTTTAGATTGTAGAGAAGATTTTCAACAAAGAGACATTATGTTTGACTAATAACTCTCAAAGTGAGTCCTTGACAGAGATGACGCGTAGATAAACAAATCTTTTCAAGTGCAAGGGTTAAAGCTTTACGTAAAGTACTGAGTGAGAAACTAAACATCGTGTATTAAGTGCAAATGTTATACTATTTGCCGTTTTCGCATCTGGTATTAAATGCAGAGCTGCACTCGCTGCACTTGCATTTGCTTCTCCAGCACCTCCCAAACCGCACGAAACTTTGACTGCACTTTTTTATTTCATAGGAGGGGGATGCTTTGATCTGAACATGACACGGGGTATTTTTTGTATATGCATTTGAAACTACGTTTGCATGCTCGTAAATAATCTACTTTGCATCATGCGTTGTCATGAACGTACATATTGGTATCGACCCCTTTAAGAAACTGCCATCCTCTCCTAGACTAAACCCTCTCTTCCTCTTCGTCACTCGCCACGTCTTTGAATTCATATTTTGGAGGAGGTTCTGTTGAATACTCCGGCAACAAGTGAACCAGTTCATCTCCTCCAGTCTTAGAAACACTTTCTTGAAAACTTGGTGGATTTATAGGCTTCTCCTCAATCTCACTTATTGTAATCTTTTTCAAATCAGTAATTATTTTGTGTGACTGATGACCGGCTTTTGGTGACACCTGGCCATCATCTTTCTTTGAAGTTCTTTTAAACAAGCCTGATAACGAAAGCAGTGGCTTTCGAGAAGTATGCTTTACTGGCGAGGCATTTGACTTAACAGCGATAACCTTTGGTTGATGAGAAGTGGTGTGTGGCCTCGATTTGGGAGCAGATTCCGGTTTTGACTTTGTCTTCGATTTAGACTTGGATTTTGTGCTCGCCCGAGAAACAGGTTTTGGGGCATTTGCGGCGCTTTTTGTGGTCGATTTGACTGGTACAGATTTTCCTGTTGCCCTTGTTGCTTTAGGCTTGGGAGAGTGACTGGACGAAGACAGTGCCGTTGGAAGCAGATGATGACTTGAAGATGTGACTGCCCTAGGTGCTCCAGACAGACTACTGCTAGCAATGGGAGGGCAACAGCATATGTTGTGTCGACAATAATAGCACCTTCTCCAGTAATCATTGCGAGTCTCAGTTGGACTATGATTCTCAAAACTAGAAGAGTAGGGACTCCTTGAACGGCCATCCCTGCTCATCTCAGCTGCGGCCATGGTGAACGCTACTCCAGCGGCAAGGAACAACAACTCCATTACCCCTTCCACTTCTTTTGAAATATGCGATAAACCAAAAATACGCAGTCGAGATGGGTATATATATATATACATTTATAAGCATACGTGTTTACCTACATTTATAGAGTCAAAGAAGCTTTCATTTAGGAAAGTGGCTCATGTCGCATCCCTTTATAGACTTACTTCTTCAGAGCACATAATTAAGGAAAGTCCTGCTTAATTTTTGCAGGTGCAAAAGACTTTATGCAGGAGCTCTAAAATTTATAATTTAAACGACAAAGTCACTTATTTTCTATTGATAGTTTTATCTAGCCAATGATGTGACAACCGTGACCGGAAGTCTATGAATTGAAAGTATACAGATCAATAGTAACTCTCCTCAAATGAGGGGCCATCACAAATAAATAAAGCATTAATCAATAGCCATCAAGCATCTTCTTCAAATCAAGCTTGAGTACACAGGGGGTAAGTCTCCAGAAATAGGATAAAAGCTTTCGTTCTCTCTAGGTTGTCGCACAGTGTATGAGGGTAAAATATTTGAAGCCCAGGCAAAATTGATTGAAGCTGGATTCAAACTTGTTTGATTCCTTCTGCGTTCATTCCTCAAATCTTCCTCCAACTCCCAAAATATTTGCTCATACCAATCTACAAGATCATCACCCAAAGTCACGCTAGTTGTCAGCAACAACCGGCTTGATATTTGCGAGGCTGAGGGGAGACCCACGCTTTGTCGAGGTTCATTTGTGAACGTGCCACACATATTCAAACGGTCAGGAGTTCTCGACTGGTTGGCAAGCTCACTACGAACCAGATAGTTTCTTAGAACAAAGGGGTTTCGTTGAAATGGGTCGATACTTTGATTTGTTGATGTATTGTCATGGGTACCTGTGTCCTCTTCCTCTAAGGTGCTTGCCAACCATTGATTTCCAGGGACTTTAAGGACAAAATCTAAACACTCTTCATTGTTCTCCCCACTAAAACTTTCAACTGAATTTTCATGCAACAACTCAACCAGCTCCTCCTGCCCCTGATACTCAGCGACGTCAGGTTGCAGAGAGCTCTCTTGTCGGTTGTCTTCAATTAGGCTCGGTGCTGTTATTTGCAAAGAGGTGTTAGCTTGACTTACCTGCTCAAATTGAGAAGACAGCTCGCGTATATCTTTACCTGTACTCTCTCTCTTCAGTGGCCTACTCTGTAGGTTTGTCTCCATTCGGTTCTCCAACATTGCCAATTGCTCCTTATCTCTCTCCTCTATGTTGACTAAATGAAAACGACTCAATCCTGGTAAGATTGCGAAACTCAAGCCCCATTTTGGGTAGAGATTGCGGAAATACAAATAGATTGCGTCAGAAGAAGATTTGACTTTGTAAGTTGATGCTAAGCCAACAAGATTGACAATGCTAAAGACTTGCTCAATGTTGGCGTCAAAATCAGGTTCGATGTGTCCATTGCAAGTGAGAAAGGGTTTGAGGAGTGCTTTTATCAAATAATGAGTCAATCTGAGGCAAGAAAGGTTTTTGGTGTAGTCATTGGGGTTGATAACGTTTGTAATCGGTGGCTGGTTTGAAGCTTCAGATCCCATACTTTGCTGTAACTCCTCCATCTTTGGAAGATTGAATAAATTTGAAATCACAGTCTCTTAGTCTCTGATCCTTTATTCTCTGCTTTTCCAGAAATTGGTGTATTATTTGCTTGTTATTGTTGATGGGTCCCTCTTTAAGAAATCGTGTTGCAAAAAAAAATATTTGGGGATTGTAGTGCAAGTAGATTTTAAAGAGGAATGGAAGAAACATAAACTAGACATATGAATTTCAGAAGGGATATTTTCCAAACCAAATCAAACCTATACAATAGCCACCGTTCTGCCAGTAGGCATCCTTGTCAAGTTTTCTTCTTGTCCTCCTCCTCGTAGTCAACAGGCTTATGACTGTTCTTAGTGTATCCTATCTTTCCTGATTGGTGGCCATGTAAGTGACATCACCCACTGCTTTATAATAGCTTGGTGGTGCTGAATCATCCACGCGGGCCATACTAGCTTCAGGATGTGCCAAAGTTAGTGCTGTAAGATTGGGGGCTTGACTAGTTCCTGATACTCCACTTTTGAACCTCTTGGTGCCAACTGGATCTGCTTCACTGTGATTGTTACCCAACGGTTGTTGTTGCTGATCAAGTTGGTCTGCAGTGTCAGAAATATAGGCTAGGTAACATGTGTTGTAAGCATACCGAAAACAATACACAAGCAACAAGCCTATCACCGTGAGAAAAGTGGCAAGAATTACAGCACTCCAATCCATCACTGTTTGGAATGCTTGAGTATCTGTCTAAAAAGATGCTTTTGATGTATAGGATGGTTATTGCAGTGCAGTGGAACACAACTAGGTAGAGTTTCTATTTTTCATTCCTTGAAGAAAAAAAGCTAACTGGCTTCTGCATATCTAAAAACCAATCGTTTCCACTCAAGCTCTAACCTCTCTATGATGGTAATTTAATGTAATGAATATGGGGGAGGTGGGTCATTGTCATCAAATTTGTGCGCTTTTGAAAATGTTACATGCACTGAGTCGTCACTAACAGACAGGTTTTGTCTTGACCCTTTCTGCATTTTCTTGGAGTACTTTTCAGCAACAATTTGGAACCTTTGTTTAGCCTTCTGCTTGGCTTCCCTAAATTTTGATCTGAATTGATTTCTTTCTCCTCTTTGCAGTGATGAGCCCTCATTAACCTCCGAGAGGGACCTAGCAGCGAGTAGTCTAGATCTGAAGCGGGCGAAAGCATCAGCCGAGGACGTGGACAGATTATTTATGTAAAAGCTTCCTGACGCCTCATTTCTGGGCCGTGGGGTATCAACTAGCGGTTCTTGGTGGCTTCGATTAGAAATGAATGCTTCAGTTGTACGCAGGGATTTTTGCTGATCTCGAGTGGTTCTTTGGAAAAACCATAGCAAGAAATGGATACCGTTGAGAGTTAGGAATATTGTGATCACACCCACAATTGCTGATGTTAGGGAGATCATTTAAAATGTTTTGCAACTCAGGGAGCATTGTTTGTGGAAGTGCCGAAAAAAAAGGTACAGTTTAGATCAAGGGGTTTGATTAGGTTGCTTTTGGCCTTTTGGCCAAAGATTCAATATCCCGCGCTGCAAAAAAAAAAAAAAGAAGCATTTGGTAAGGACAAAGAAAGAGAAAGAACATGTTGGTACAGTAGTATACTGTCAGGAATGGGAATAGGTGTATTCTGAAACACTTACTAAACTGATAAGAGTTTCAGAAGACGATTCTCGAACCTGAAACATGGATCACTAATGTTTCAGGTACTAAATCTTTTTTAGTGTCTTGAAGTATAATGGTGGGGGTCTTGTCCCCCCTTTTTCTATATACAGTTATATTTTTATATAATCAAGTAAAATTACTACACTTAAACTGACATATACAATGAAAAGAACGATGTAACTTTAATCTCTATGTTCGACACTTGGCTTTTCATAAAAGACCCCCTCCGATTCTTTATTGTCATACTCGACCTTGGATGCTAGTTCATCCTTGTCGCCTGGCTCATCAACATCGTAAACACTCATTTCGTCATCCCTTTCAATACTCAAATCTGCACCTCTATTCTCTGGACCAATAAAGACAATAAGCATCAAGTAACCAATAACTGCACCGATGAAAATGGCCATTGTTTTTCCGTAATCGTTCAAGGTATCATTGATAGTTGCTTCAATGGTCGAGCTTGCGGAACTGACCAAATTACCCAATTGGTATGCCACACCTGTGACAATGGTTTTGAAATGGGGTGGTGACAATTCAGTCAAGTGAATTGGGACAACAGACCAGGAACCTTGTATACCAAATTGCATAAAGAAAGCTGTGACCCACATAGGTTTGAATGCCCAGGGATAGATGAATGCACCCGCAAAGACATTTCCAATCAAGATAGCTGTACGTCTTCCGATAAAAGTGGAAAGATGGGATATCACTATACCGCCAGCAATGGCTCCCAAGTTGGCACAAACATTCACAACGGTTGATTTGTCATCGCCAAAATGATAAGTTTCTTTCAACATGGTTGGGTACAAATCTTGGGAACCGTGAGAACTAAAATTGAAACCTGACATCATCAACACCAAATAGATAATAATTAACCAATATGTTTTCAACGCTTTTCTTGCTTGGTTTCCAAACTCAACGAGCTGAGCATGTCGAGATGGTCTAGCCTCCGCTTCTCTCTTCATACGTTCTTGTTGACGCTGATAAGTGTTTGTCTCTGGATTGATGAACCTCCACAAAATGAAAATGACAGGAACACCAGCAGAGAAGTAGAACATGTTTCTCCAGGTATGTTTGGTCTCATCAAATGCTCTTTGAAAGCAAACTGCCAACAAATACCCAAAAGCGTAACCTTCTTGAAAAATACCAGACAAGACACCTCTTGCCTTTTTTGGTGCATCTTCAAGAGCATCAGCTGCACAAATACCAAAAATACCACCCATGGCAATACCAAATAATGCCCTCACCGCAAGAAATTGTTTAAATGTTTGGACAAACCCACAACCGATTTGAAGAACCATGAGCAATCCCAAGTTGATGATATATGGCCACTTTCTTCCAAATGTATCACCAATAGCACCAAATATCAAGGCACCAACAGTTCTCAACATCAACACCAATGTAATACCCCACGTCACATCTTTTGTCTTGACATCCAAGTCAGCAGCAATGTTTGAAACATTCAAGCTGGTGATGAAATAATCAAATGCGTCCCAAGTCCATGCCCAGAACCCCATAAAGAAAAAATTCCATTGGTGCAGATTCATTTCGATGAGCGGCTGAAAAGGGTTGACGTATTCATACCAACTATAGCTTCTCAACTCATCCCACCCAACCCACAAAGAAGTGAATCTTGTTTTGAGGTAGTTTTTGATCGCTCTAGTGGTGAACTTTGGAGGACGAATGATGTGTTTATTGTGATCGTTGATCTTCTCAGTGGCTGCTGAATGTATAGACTCTGACATGTTTTCGTGTAACTGCAAATCTTGGAAGGGTTCTGCGTTATCTTATTTTTTTTTTCTTGGCAATAATGTGTCTGATAGATAATTCTTGGTGAGACAGCTGTGAAGCAAATATGAAAAGTAGGGAAGATCTAGAGAAGGGGAGTGGTAGAACCAGGAAAGTTCAACAAAGTACAGCAAAGAACGGAAATAGACGTCTCTTTTATATTCATAGCAAAGCAGTGCAGATTGCATTTACCAGCTTTCGCAATGAAAAGCTCGGAGAAACAATGTATCAATGCACAAAAAGGATTTCTAAAAAAAACAAAAAGAACGTAAAGTTTGTTTCGTTTTATCTTCATTATTATGGCGCTAACCTTAGTAAAATTAGGATTACCGAAAGCAATGGGGCACAATGCCTAATGTTGGCTAACCACGGTTGCCTGTGTAAACGATTCAACAATTCATTAGGTCGTGGACAAGCTCAATGCCACAAAGATGTACGTGGTGGGGGAGACGACTGCAACTATGGGCTGCTTAGTTGCATTATAAAACACAAAACTTCATGTTTTGGGGGAAAAAGAATTATCCTGTAATCAATTACTAGGTGGAAACATATGAGATACTGCATAGTGTGCTTACAAAGCAGGAGTCTCAATTTTATCTTACACTGTAGGAAGCAGGAAAAGACTAGAGCCAAAACGTATTTCAGTAACTGCGCTCCTTTTGGTTCCCTTCCTCACTGGCACAAACCAAGATACGCAGCCAAGGGATGCTTTACTTCTTTTTTCTTGTACTAACCCAAGATAATAACGATGTGGATGCCTTTGACGTGTTTGACACAAGCACCCTGGATTCAAGGGCAACAGCGGTAGAAGGAGAGAACGAAAAAATAAAAATAAAAATTCTGTTTGTATCATGTTTGGAATTTTTTTTTCCCCACTCTTCCCCACAACACATATATATTGCAAGAGAGATATAATATTGCAGAACCTTAATAAAACAATATCTTATTTTGCTAGTAATATACACACCCATTGCAACATGTACAACTTAGAGTACCATATTGGGAACACACATGGTGGAATAACAAGCCTGCAAGAGTGTAATTGTAAGCGCTTTCCACTGAGCTATCTAGAGAGAAAGAAAGAACTAACCTGATACAATCTTAATTGGTGTTCATAACTTAGGCAATTACGATAAACACACTAGACTAAACTGCTCTAACAACCTTCTTCGCCTCCTGCTTCAACGGTTTGCTCTTCTCTTCCTTCAGTTGCTCCATTACATCTCCAATTTGTGCATCTGGATCCTTCTTGTCATCATCCAAGTCATCGACATCATAAATACTCATTTCATCATCTCTTTCGACTCCCAATTCAGCACCCCTATTCTCTGGACCAAAAAACACAACAGGAATCAAGTAAGCCAAGATAGCACCCAAGAAAATAGCCATTGTTTTACCATAATTGTTCAAAGTTTCATTCATTGTGGCCTCAATGGTGGCACTTGCCGAACTGACCAAATTACCCAATTGATACGAAGTTCCCACAACAAATGACTTGAATTGAGGTGGAGCCAACTCATTCAAGTGGATCGGGACCACTGACCAGGAACCTTGAATTCCAAACTGCATGAAAAATGCAGTAATCCACATTGGTTTGAATGCCCAAGGGTAAATAAACGCTCCTGCAGTGAAATTACCAATCAAAATAGCAGCACGTCTTCCAATAAATGTTGATGCGTGTGAAATGATAATACCGCCAGTAATTGCACCCAAATTGGCACAAACGTTAACAACTGTAGCCCTGTCGTGACCGAAATTGTACTCTTCGGTCAACATGGTGGGATACAAATCTTGTGAACCGTGCGATGAAAAATTGAATCCCGACATCATAAACACCATGTACACAATAATCAACCAGTAAGCTTTCCAAGCCTTCTTGGCTTGACTAGTGAATTCAGCAACTTTTGAGTTTCTTTGAGAAGCACCCTTTTCAAATCTGGCTTTTTGACGTTGATAGTTGTCAGTCTCAGGATTGCAAAATCTCCAAACAATAAAGATCACAGGGACACCAGCAGAAAAGAAAAACATATTTTGCCATGTCCTGTCAGTCATTGTAAACGCTCTCTGAAAACAAACCGCCAACAAGTATCCAAAAGCATACCCTTCTTGGAAAATACCAGACAAGACACCTCTAGCTCTCTTTGGAGCATCACTAAGTGCTTCTGCTGCACAGTTTCCATAAATGCCTCCCATTGCAATACCAAATAGTGATCTGACGCCAAGAAATTGTTGATACGTAGTAACAAATCCAGTACCAATTTGAATGACCATGAGCAAAATCATATTGACAATATAGGGCCATTTCCTACCAAAGGTATCACCAATGGAACCAAAAATGACAGCGCCCACAGTACGAAACATCAACACCAATGTGATACCCCACGTGACATCTTTCGTGGACACATTCAAGTCTGTGGCAATGTTGGTCACGTTTAAACTCGTGACAAAGAAATCAAAAGCATCCCATGTCCAGCCCCAAAAACCCATCAAAAAGAAATTCCACTGGTGCAAGTTCAATTCGGTCAATGCTTGAAATGGATTGAGAAGTTCACCCCAAGAATATTGGCTCAATTCTTCTCTTCCTACCCATAAAGAAGTGACTCTACTTTTGAAGTATCTCTTGATGGCAGTTGAAGTGAATGTTGGTGGACGAAAAATGTGCTTGTTGTGTTCGTTAACAATTTCTGAAGCCCCAGAATGAATTGAGTGTGACATGTATTAGTATTGATTATTGTCTTTTATGTCCAACTGAATCCAAAGGACGAAGGTACCCCGAGTCCCCTTTTATACTTATACTGGACAATTGTACAGCCAGTCACCCTCACCCGCTAAACGTGTAAAGTCAAGTCTTAGTTCGTGCAACACATTCACAGCGTAAAAAAGCCTTCAAGGTAAGGAGCGCCACCATGCCTTGGATATATTTTCTTGGCCAGTGTTCTTAAAACTTTGATTTGTGATGACGCTTCCTCCCCCCCTCATTTGGCGTGGAAGCGGTCGAAAACCTAATGGTCTACCTGTATTGGGGTGTATGAAACTAGTTTGCTTCTTCTTCTTCTTCTTCCAAAGTGGTACAAGGCGCCTCTCCTATTGCCACAGGAAAAGCTTATTCCGTAGATAATATTATCATCAAAACTGGCTGTGTGCCAAGAGGGTAAACCGTGACGGTTTGTTGAAACCACCATTGATCCCTATCTTCTCCGTCAGTCATATCATAGTGAGTATCTCGTCAGCGAAGAGCATCACTTGTTTTTTCACATTAATCAAAACAAATTCCCTTTTCACTTTTGATTGATGTCTCTACTCCATGAACCACTCAGCAGTACGAAGTGGAAGTGGTTGTTTGTATATGTTACAGCCAGCTTGAAACTTGCAAGAGTCTCAATAAATCAACTGAAACTCAGTGAAAAAAAAAAAATAAAAATAAAGATAAAAACACTCCGAGATTTGAAACATAATAAGCAAATTAAACTTTAAACTTTGCCATACTATTATTAGTGAATGATGGTGGGGTGAGGATGGGGGGGAGCTACTGCATTTGGCTGTACACCTTTGGACAGTTGAAAAAAAAAAGTAGAACATGAAACAATGAATCAACAGTATTGGTGTTTCAAGTGAAAACAAAAGCTCTCCATAACGTGCCAGTTAGTCCCCAAATTCAAGCACGTTTCAGTCTATGACGGAATACTGCTCTTCTTTGATGAACTGTTTTGCGTTTGCATTCCTCATTAAATTATACTTCAAAAACAACCAAATTTATTCAAACTATTGATAAAACTCTAAACCAAGCCGCAGTTGCGTCGCTTCCCCACTTTTTGTTCTAAAGTTTAATTGACTCGAAAAGTTAAACTAAAATTTTTTGTTATTGGTCAGATATGCTCTCTCAGTACATCCCCACAAAGGGAAGGGCTTGTCATATTTTACTCTCCCATATTATTATTCGTTTGCTGAATTTTACCATCTGGGTTGTTTCAAGTTTTGGGCTAGTTCTTAGTTGTAATTCACGTAACTTTATTTCTTGTTAGTGTGTTGCAATGGAAGGACTCGGAAAGAATGTGCTGGCTCTTACACAAAAGGGGTGGGGCAACTCCCTTACCAAAGAGAACGGTTTATTTGTAATCCAATTTCGCAATTGAGCTAGGAGGAGTTGTGGGGTAAAAGCTCTTCAAATACCGTCTCTTTTCAAAATAATGGAGCGTTTTACTGACCGATAAATTCCACTATAATAGGGTGGTGTTTCCCAAAAAATAAAAGGGGGTGATATTGATTTCGGAAAAACACTTGAGTGAGCTAGGTAGTATTACCAAAAACTTCACAGTAATATGAGCCAGATCAGTTGCAAATGCAGTGAATATCCTCTTATCGATGACACCAGATCTGTGAAAAAAAAAAAAAAAACACATTTTTGCCAAATTACGCGTCAGCACACAAAACGGGAATCCATATTACACAATAATTCATGTCAACAAAACGAGCGCTGCACAACGGCAAAGCTCAGCGCTGCAGCTACTCTATCGCCTCTTCTACCAAATACAAACTCAAAACAAGCTACACTCAGTTGCCATAGTCATGGCAGATATTCCATTAATAATAACAAAAGTAGTACACAGATCGTTAAAAAATTACAAAGCAGAAATGGTGACATTGATGGAAATTAATGGCATTTTACGTCTACCTTGCCCACCTATCCTCTTCTCTGCCTATACCTCAATATCCTCTTGAACAAGTCATCCACATCCAACTCAATCTCACTAATAAACTCATCCAAAATCGACTTATCTCGAATATACTTGTCACAATCGTTGGCAATCACCCAAATGTCAACTTTGGTCTCTCTACTCAATCGCTCAACAAATTCAACAACACTACGCCGCTCAACAAAAGTGTTGTACTCAAACTCATCGCGGATCCGTTCTTCTCCATACCGCTCAATCCGCTGAGCTACACTGAGCCGTTGCGGCGTGGAGTTGAACCATTCATCAAGAATCTCATACACTGTGTATGAGTTTGGTTGTAAATCGTAAATGGGCACGCCGGTAGATGTGGTTTGCGGTGGTGGTGGTTGTGGCGGTCTTGGTCCATTCAATTCGAAATCAAACTTGTCAAGCAGGGCATTCACTTTCGTGGCTAAATCGGAAACAAAAGCTGGCTCAACTCCAACTGCTCGCTGTAATGAAGTGTTGATTTCGGTACATAATTGAACAAATGAGCGTCTGATTTCTTCAATGTTTCTTTTCGTAATCTTCTTCGGGTACATGAGTATTGGTGAAGTGGATTGCGAATTTCCATTTGGTTGGAAAAGTGACAGAGACAGTGTAACACTGTCATTGTGACTTTGCGCCCCATGCGTTTGATAATACTGTCCACTATGTCCTTCTCCTCTCTGTTGATGCTGGAATTGCCCTTGACTATTCTCGTGTACCATCGATGACAATGGAGGCATTGAATGGGGCCCTTGAGAGGAGGAAGGAGGTGGGGGTACGTATGGATTCACCAAAAGCGTCTGATTACCACCGTCAATGCCGTGATTGGGTCTCCTACCATTCTCTGGTGCATATATTGAAATCGCAAAATTATCAGATCTGTTCTTTTTCATCCTCGAATTTCTGCCCTTCAGCTTTTCATTACCACCCAGAATGGCCTCTCTTTCAAACTCGCCCAGAACTCCTCCAAACTCTTTGGACGCCACAAAATCCAATGGAAGGTGGCGGTTCGGTATTCCTCTTCTATCCAAATTATAAACCAAGCAGTTGATTTCATGTAGTTTGGAAAACGCAGGATCCATTTTCCTCAATCTGATTGCTGGATTACTAGAAGAACTCATGGCATACTGCTCTTCATAAAATTCCTTCATCAATTCACCAGTGACAAAAAAATTGTCCAACTTTTTTCTGCAACAGAATCGTATGTAATGTTTGAATGTGGTTATGTATCTCTTTCTTGTCTCAAATCCCAAGCTTAACAATCGCTTTCTGGCCTCAGGGTTGCTCAAGACTTCATTGTCAAATTTCTTAAACATTTTAATCACATCCTCGGTATCCTGCGACATGATCCGTTTGTTGATCTTGATATTCTCGCGATCAACACCGTATTTGCTTTTATTGCGTCTTGTCCGCTTTGATTTATGAACTCTGTATTCTTCCTCGTCTTCATCCTCTTCGAACTCTTCGTCGGTGTCATCCTCTCCCTCCCCGTCTCCTTCCGCTTCGTCTTCTCCCCCACTTTCGGCATCTTCGGCATCTTCTTCTCTTGTGGTGTCATCTTCATGCATCATCGATGGAAGTTCTCTTGCATCAATCTTTTGAGATATTATGGACGTGATTGGTATACGACCATTTGATCCTCTAGATGGAGGCTCGGCTAGCAGCGACTGTTGCTGGCGTGGTCGTGCGTGTGGATATTGGTGTGGTTCAGGTGCTAGTACTAGTGCTGGTGCTGGTGCTGGTGCCGGTGCTGATGCCGGTGCTGATGCTGCTCCTGGTGCTGGTGCTGGTGCTGGTGCTGGCGGCATCTGGGAGCCATAGTCAACTGGATGGTGAGGAATCTGCGGAGGGTAGCGAACTTGCGCCAGTGGCCCATTATGCAAAGGATACGGTGGGTGCAAAGAGTGCTGGTATTGCTGACGTAGATATGGTGGTAGTTGTTGCGGATGTTGTAGCTGATGATGATGATGATGATGATGACGATTTGGCGGAGGTGGCACTGCTGCTACTGCTGGTATTGGCGAGCTTTGCTGCCCGGGATAAGGCTGGAGATTTGGACTATAGCCACTGTTATACGACGATGAAGATGGAGGTGGTATCTGCTGTTGATACGGTGCTGCCGGTGGAGCAGTGGGGGTTCTAGGGTCATAGTTAGGAAACGAATATGGAGAAGGCGCTGGTGGCATTTCATTGGAAAGCAAATGGTTGATACTATTTTTGTGAACATTTGGTGATGTGGTTGCGTGATGGGGCGGAATGACTTTCGAAATTGGTTGAATAGTTGCACCCTGCATCGACGGAATTTTTTCTTGAGATTCTTCGTTTTCGGTTTCAACACTTGTTGATGGGGACATGGAAACCACGTTCGCTGTCTCCTTGGTTGTCCCCGCTATTTTCAGTTTTTTTGTCGTTGTTGGCCCAACTACATCGTTTCCAACCCATTTCCTCTTCTCCCCTACTATTGTGCCCAACTTCTCCCTCATCAACAAGTCATTTTTCAGAGGACGTCCACGTTTTTTACGTACTTCTCCAGATTTCAATGGAGGAGTTGGTATCACAGATTTACCATTGGTGCTGCGTGGATATTTTCTGGGCCTTCCTCTAGTTTCCTTCCTTCCGAGAAGTGGTATATCTACTTCATTTGCAGCGGAGTCCTCCTTGATCAATTCCGGTGTCTTATTTTCGCTCGGCGTCTTTTCTCTTTTGTCAGCAGTCTCGTTTTCCTCTTTTTTCAGTCTGGTTGTCTTCTTTTGGCTTAGTGTCTTCTCTATCTTATTCACAGTCTCTTTTTCTTCTTTGGTGGCCAGTTTTGATTTGGTGCTTGTTGCAGAGAATTTGGCAGAGCTATTACCTAGCTTTAAGGCATTGGGAACACGGCCTCTCCTTTTTGGTACAGCAACTTCTATGGAAGGGGTCTTGATAGCTTTGAGACTTGCTGGGGTTGGCGCTCTGGTACTTCGCTTGGGGTTGGCTAGCGCAGTGATTTTGGTGGCGGCACTGGCCTTTGACTTAGTCTTAGTCTTAGTCTTGGTCTTGGTCTTGATCTTGGCAGTGTGTGTGTTTTTAATTGCTACCCTACCTTTACGTGTCTTGCGTGTTCTGCGTGTCACCAGAT